ATTCTGACATGTTTGGGATCGATATCTTCAGTAACATCGACCACGCCTATGAAGGTTGAATTTACCAATCGGACATCCTCAGTCATGCCCGTTTGGGATTCGATGTACCCTACTTGAACTTCAAATGGACTCGTATCCACTTTCATTGACATTTCCTCAAACTTCAATCTTCCTTGGTCGATCGCATCTTGGATTGTGTTCTTGAAATGTATATAATTATTAGTCCAATGTCCATAAATATTATGAAATTTACAGTATTTTCGACCATTTCTTTGTTCTGCAGAAGGTAATTTGTGATCATCACTCAACTTAATCTGTTTATCTTTCAATAAAATATCGAATATTTTATCTGCCTTTGTTACATCAAAAGTATATGTGCGATTTGCCATTTTGTCTTTTACTTCATTTTTTTGTAACAATTTACAGACGTACGGGGCTCCTACTTTAAGCTCTACTATATTTACATTCTCATCGACAGATTCTTTAATATCTACTTCTATCCCGGGATTTCCTTCGTATATGTCATTTATATATGCTACCCTTTCTTTTTTCATAGGTTTTTCAAATTTGTTGTACCTTTGTTTCTCATATTCGATTTGTTCCACTCTTCTCACTCTATCGGCTAGCTGAGCCATGTCATTCAACGGTAAATTAACTAACTTTTTTCTAATAAAAAATTCTAAGCCTGCAGAGGCCATTGTGACCAATTCAAATTCGGGAATTTGGGTAAAACATCTCGACTTCATTTGTCTAAATCTATTCAAATAATCATCTACGCTTTCATGATTATATCTCTTTATATTCATTAAGTCGATAAGACTTACTTGTGTCTCCCCCTGAAGAATTGCTCATGAAAACTTCTTTCCAGCTGCAACCAATTATATATTGAATTAGGTGGCAACGACGTAAACCACGTGAAAGCATTCTTTGTTAATGAACTAGGAAAGTATTTCATTTTTAATTCCTCACTCATCGCTAAGTCTTCACATTCGATTTGGTATCGCGCTACATGCTCGATAGTGGATTCGCCAATTTCTCCAACAAATTTGGTGAATTTAGGTATTTTGTATCCTCGTGGTAATTCTGTCTCGAGAATCGTATTTGAAAAAGGAGAAACAAAGTATGGTTGATGAGGTGGTCTTAATTCTACTCCTTAGAGATTCATCCTTTGTCCCAACATATGATTATACTGCATGTTATTTTGATTATACGCATTTTGATACCCCTCATTCAAATTTCCATAAGTATCATTCCTCACAGGCTGATATTCATTTCTTCCATGCTGATGATGATCATTTTTTCGATTTCTCCTTAATAAATAAAGGGGATTGATATTAGCATTTTGGTTAAAATTCTGATTGGCATTACTTTCGACCCTCGTTTGTCGGGGTATTGCTAATGCATCCCCGATACGTGTCATTTGGTCTGCTAATATCTCAAAACTAGTGGTAGTATTTTGAACTAATGGGTTTAGAACCGTAGTCAACTGTTGTGATAACATGTTAACCATCTCGAAATTGCTTTCGTTCATTTGTTGTCGAAGTACTCCTAATGAATTACTAGAAATTACAGTACTAGTGTTTTTGATAGTCTCAAAATTGGATCGATGATAATCTCTATCGAATGTGTACCTCCCGTGATCCAGGTTTGTCCTATGATCTAAGTTTGATATTGGAGGTGTCTGTTGTGTTCCTAAATTCTGCACATTCCCTGAATTCTGGGGTGCTACTAAATTTTGAGATATCCCTAAATTTGGGGACACTCCAAAATTTTGAGGCATACCTAAGGTTTGACATGTTCCTAAGTTTTGGGGCATTCCTAGGTTAAATCTCGTACTTCGTTGTATTGAAGAAGTATCAGCCCCGTTCATATTATTAATCGAAAAACCAGGCGGCCTTACACTCATATGCGGACCTGCATATGTTGTTACGGGACTTCCCACGATTTGTATAGTATTTGACATTACAGTTCCAGACCCTATTATCTGAGCATTTGCTAATGTCCCTTGATTTTGTTTAGAACTTACTGGAGTCGACGCGCTCACAGTTGTCGATATTACAGACATAATTCCATTGTGAACTTGCCCTCCAGTGTTTGGTGGATTCGGACTATTAGGAATCTCACTGTTACCCTGACTATTTGGTGGATTTTGATTCATTCTTACTACTCGTCCTCTCCTTAGTCTCATACACTCATCAAACTAGCCAGACTTTGTGTATAAAACACAATATCAATGCCCCTACCTGGCACACCAATTTGTTTCTGGTGAAAATTTGATCGATTTCAATTTTTCAAAGACTTAGGTTCTAACCAAATTTTAACCACATAGATTCTTTTTATTTAGGCTAGCAAACGGTTTTCAATCGAAAAAATGCATGAGAATCGAAAATTCCATGGTTTCGAAAAATGTAAACAACACAACTTAGTATGCAAATCGAAAATACTATTTTTGGTATTTTTCATTAAGAGACGCGAAGTAAAGAAAACAGTAAAAAATGTTGAATCGAAAGATAGTGCAGAATATTAAATTGCAGAAAAATGTAAAGTGCAGAAACCTCAAATTTGCATTAAGTGTAAAAGGCAAGGAATCGAAATTGCAGAAATGTAAACGGCAGGAAATTGAAATTGCAAAAATGTAAATAGCAGGAAATCGAAATTGCAGAAATGTAAATAGTAGGAAATCGAAATTGCAGGAACATAAATGGCGAGGATCTTAAACGCATAACCTTAACTTGCATAAAAGTAAATGACAAGGAATCGACAGGACAAAACTTAAAGTTCGACAAACGTAAACTACAATGAAAGTAAATTACCAGGGAAAGTAGAGAAAGCGATAAAGATAATCAATGAAAACGGAAATCCAGAGCATTAGAAACTTCATGATGCGTCGTTCTCCTGTAGACTATTCACTTGCGCTTCTGTTGTCTCTGCCAATTTCCCCTTCTTCTTCATGCTTCATTCTATTTATAGGTCCGCTTTAACGTAACTTCCTAAGAGCAGTTTAAAAAACTGCTACCACGTTCCATGTACACGTACGTTAGCTATCTGTTTCTTTTTATCTTAGCTGCGGTTTTGAAAAACCGTTTCCCACGTTCCATGTGCATGATAACCGTTCCTTTAATCTTGACTTCAACTATCAAAAATTATTTCTGCATTTCCATTTAACTTCGTACTCAATACCTTTCATCGATTTTTACTTCCCCATAATCATCGAATTTCCTGTATTTCTTTCGATTCTCAATTCTGATTCTCGAATTTCTTTAGCAATAGCCATCGAATCCTCTTCTTTTGTTTCATCGATTTTTTGTGTCGATTTTTTACAAACAATAACACAATAATAACTAATACACCACATCATCGAAGAAAATTTTATATATAAATAAAGTTGGTATAATAATTTAAAAAATAATGTGTTAAATACAACCATGTTAATAACATTTTCTTAAAAAATTATCACTAGTTGATAATAATAACATTTCACCAAGTTTTTGTGACATGGAAACTATATGGAAGAAAATATCTCCTGTTTTTTTATATGGTATTATTCATATGATTATATAAGAACTAACGGGGTGATGTATTTATTGATAAATTTTTTAGTTATACTGTTAATAATATAATAGATATAACAAATCCTTTATATATTATCATTTCGCATCATTTTATTTTTTCATTATTTGAATTTTTTTCCTCATTACTCTATCTCAAATTTTCCCCTTTGCGAAAATCCTTCTCTACAAAGTTTTTTTTTGTTTATATATAAAACTCTTCTTTTTTAAAATTCATCATTTTTTTTTCAAAGTTGTTCAACTACATAACAAAACAAAGTTATTGTGTGTATAATTATTCAGTTGATAACAAAAATCCAATCGTGAAAAAAAGAAGATGAAATTCTTATTTATTATTTAAAATATTGTCATTATTTTTGTATATCACTATCATTTCACGTTTCTCTTTTGTTATTATTATTCTAGGTAAGTATATATCTTTTATATAAATAAATAAAAAAAATTGTTAATATTATATATTGATTTATTGTATTGTGTGAAAAAGTATAAAAAATAAATATTCCTTTATTGATGACTATTATATATTTATTTTTTACATGGTTTATTAATGTAAAAATTCTTATACTTTTCAAAAAAACAATATCTACATTAATTTAAAAACTAATATAAAATACTCAAAATAATCAATAAAGCTATTTTTTTTATAATGTATGACGAACTATAATATTTTATTAACTAGGTCACATTAGCAAAATATCATTATTAATTAAGTTGATTCATCTTAACTATTAATGTAAATGACTAATATTAAATTTGAGTACTAAATTTATATTTTTATACTTAAACTAAACAAAATTTTATTATACATTTTCAAGAATTATAAATAATATTTATCTAAATTCTACTCAAGTTTTTTGCCATAACAATCAAGTGATTTAGAAAATGTGATGATTGACTGCCTGGTCATGAAATAAACACTATTAGTTAATATTATTCCTCGTCAGAAGTAAGAGTTAATATCATTCTTCGTGAGAAGTAATAATTGTGTCATGAACCTTTTAATAAAATATATTTTGATTATTATTGAGTTTCGTACAATGTAAATCTTAAATTATATACTAATTTTATATTTTGATACTTTTAATAATTAAACAAAAATTATTATTGAGTAACATGAACCTAAAATTATTACCTCCGAAGAAACTAGATATTCAATAATTAAATTATTATTAAAATAAAAATTAATAAATTTAAATTGTCATCACCAAATAAACATTCAAAAAATAAAATAAAATAAATTAAAATAAAATTATAAAAATTAAATATATTTAAATATTTTGTAAATGGTGAAATTATGGTGTCCACGTATGTTTTATCCTCTATGGAACTAGGGATACAAGTTATTGTCTATTTAAGGAAGAAAACATAGTGTAGGAAGCTGCAAAAGTTAGAAGTAAGTGGTAAAAGGTAGAAGAAGTCGGGGTGAGAAAAATGAAGGTGTTTGTTTTGTTTGTTGCTGTGGCTGTAGCAGCATGGCAATGCCATGGTGCAGACGGAGACCGTGACCATGGCGTAGACTTCCAAATTTTCCCACTCCGAATGAAATCTGGCCTCGGTGGCCACTACATTCCGGAGATTTCATGCCAAAGTTGGAGGCTTGGTGTGGAAGCACATAACATCATTGGCTTCTCATCTGTTCCTGCAGACTGCGTAGGATATATAGGGAACTACCTTATAGGCGAGCAATATAGATCAGACTCCAAAACTGTGTGCCGTGAAGCTTATTTTTATGTCAAAACCCTAAACATCACTGACAGAGACGCATGGGTGTTTGATATAGACGAGACTACACTCTCTGATCTCCCATATTTTGCTGATCATGGATTTGGGTATGCTCTTTTCTTTTTTTCATTTCAATAGTTTTTTGTACAAAGTACACTGATTATTATGTATGATTTTGAAACGTGTCAGGGCGGAACCATTTAATTCAACGGCGTATAATGCCTGGGTTTATCTTGGGGTTGCACCAGCACTGCCTGAGAGTCTGAAACTGTACAGGAAATTGGTAACTCTTGGCATCAAGATTATCTTCTTGACAGGAAGAACACAGGCTCAACATGAGGTAACAGCTGCAAACTTAAAGCAAGCTGGATACTACAAATGGGAAAAGTTAATTACCAAGTGAGTTTCTTTTTCGTTTTCTTTATTTCTCTCTCTCTCTCTCTTTCTATATATGTATATACATAAACAGTTTACACGTGATCTGAACAAAAGTTTACGTGTGAGAGACAACACAATGATGACTTAAAAAAATTGGATCAGATTATGTGATTCTGAATTTTCTTAATTACAGTCTTTACAGCAACTTTTTTTTTAATTTAAAGAATTAACTGTTTACTTTCTGAATAATCTTTTGTACAATTATTGGAGAGAGATTAACAGGAAATGTAATAAAAAGGTGTAGGGTAAAGTTGGGTAAGGGTAGGGTAGCCAGTGGGAAAATGACAAGGAATAAATTAAAAAGCAAAGAGGTTTGAGAGATAATCCAGGTTCTGATGGATAAAGGATTGACAAGTTGACACTGTACTGCATTAAAGTTTTCAGGTTCAACCAATCAGGGTGGGTGTGTTTGAGTAGTATGAATAATGTAACTTCATAGAAAAAAAATGACTGTCTTAACATTAGACATCCAAGTTTATGTAGGGTTCTGGTTTGAAATTTGATTGTGATTATTATAAAGTAAAAAAAAAATGATTTTGGTTGCAGGGATACAACAATATACAATGGTAAGACAGCACTAACATACAAATCAACAGAGAGAAAGAAGGTGGAGGAAGAGGGATACAAGATCATTGGAAACATTGGAGACCAATGGAGTGATATTCTGGGAACCAACACAGGCGCTAGAACCTTTAAGCTTCCTGATCCCATGTACTACCTTAGTTAAGACTCTGACTAGGTTGCCCCCCTATGAATGAAATAAGATATGTAACGATAATGGAGCAACATTATTACCCTAGAGACACATGCATGTGACTTTATCTCAGACAACTTACGTTAGAGATTCCACCACAAGCAAGCTGTTGTTGTTTACTCTTTCAGGGTTTCAATGAATACACATCTGTCCTTGCTCCTTTTACACCTTTTCTTTTTTCTCTTTTTTGGAAGCCAGAAATTCACCCTTCAATCAAGTCTTTCTTTTCTTTTTCTCTTTTTCAAAACAACAGGTCACTGACTTTTTGTTGGGTGGAATACGAAATAAATAATAATATTATATAAACAACATAATCAATTCGATTTAAAATATAATTAATTATACATTATTTTTAGAAAGAAAAAAAAAGAATATGAAAGTAAAGCAACAACAAATAATAATTTTTCGAAATGACATTTTTCGTGACTTTTATAACAATAGATAAAGGAGACCATTTTTTTTTTCATTTTTACATCCTTCATAATTCGCGCTTTTTATACCAAACAGGAACATGGATGTTTAAAACGTGACATAATTTATCATTTGAAATATCTTAGAAAAAATCTTACGACCTATCTATTTTTCATATATATATATATATATATATATATATATATATATATATATATATATATATTATTTTCCAACTTAAGTATAGGAATACTTTTGTAAATGGAACTTTATTTTTCTAAAATTGAACAGAATTTGATATCTCGAAACGGTCGTACAGATGAACTTATTATTATTATTATTATTTTAAATATACTATAAAAATATATAATAAAATAAATATTTGTGTAGTTTATGATTAGATTTTTAAAAAATATAGCCATATAAATGTAGTATTTTAACTTTTTTTAATCCATTCAAATACACATTATCTGTAAATTTACCATCGTTTTAAAATAAAAATTTAAATTTCTATTATAAATTAACTTATGCTTTAATTAAAAAAAATGTTCTGAGAATATTAAACTAAGCATATACCTACGTAACATATTTTGTATTTCATTTTAAATAGAATTTGTTATTTTAATTAACAATTTAAAAATAATTTAATTATTATGAGTAAATATTAATTTAATATAATATCCTATCATAAACTGATCCTAAATTTATAGGAAATTTAAAAAAAAAAGTATTTTTAAAACTTTATATAGAAAATTGGAAATTCTTGGGTTGGACATAATGCACAATGAAGGTGAGTAAAAAAAAATAAGGGTTTTGCTTCTTGCACTTTCATGTTTAAGTAAAATATCTAAAATATCTTTTTTATAATTTTATTTTTTACCCTAATTTTTTATTTTTTTTATTTATGTACAATTTATGCACTTCTATCCCTTAATACCTCTATCCTTTGGTTTGGCTATTTAATTTTTTTATATTATCACTTTTATTGAAGGTCTTTTCTAAAAATTAAAGGTAAGTAATATTTAATATTATGTATGAATTATATGTTTTTACACTCATTCTAGATGGATTGTTCTGGAATATATTTTTGGACAGGGCAATCCAAAAATATATTCTAGAAAGGTTTTTCTGGAGATATATTATGAAACACCTAATTCGAAATGTGTTTTGGGAAAGATTTTTCTAGAAATGCATTATAGAACACTCAATCCGGAATATATTTCCAAAATTTTGAAATGTATTTTTGGATTATTTTTTTCAGAAAAAAATTTAAAACACTCGATCTAGAATGTATTTTCGGATTGACTTTTCTAAACACACATTCCAGAATAGGTGTTCAAGAACGCATTTTTGGAAAAGTTTTTCCACAAATATATTTTAGATTAGGTGTTCCAGAAACGTATTTCAGATTGGGTGTTCTACAATGTATTCTAGAAAAACCTTTTTAAAATGTATTCTAAAGATGAAGATAGTGTAAGGATAATATAAGATTTAAAATAATTAGGGGGTGCAGGAAAGAATTATAGGGATGCAGGAACCAACAGCCGAATAAGAAATACTAAGCCCATAGTGCTTTAACGTTGCTACACAACAAGAAGTGGACAATTATCCTTAGATCCATGTTCGGAAAAGTAATGAGGTGGGTTGATGACCTAGCTTAGAGATCTTGTGTTGGGCCGGACTAACAGATAAAACGGGCTCCAGAATAGATGAACCTCGAACATTTGAATATGACCAAGAATTTATTTTAGAATTTTTAATACTAACTTTACAATATTAAAACATAAAATATTTATGATATTTAGAAATATTTTACTCTTAATTAATAAATATATAGCTAGGTGTTTTTTTTCATTATTTTACTCTATCTATTATTTTATTTTATTTTTTAGTTTGATATTAATTTTTAATCATAATATTATCACATATTATTTATTTATAAATGATTTATTAACATATAGAAGTGTATTTCTTGATTTGTTAAAATTATTATTAAATATCTAAAAAAGTTATTTTGTTTTTTCAAATCTTATATATTTAAATTTGTTGGTTATTATTTTATGATAAATTTATTTGTAGTTGAAAGTGTATAAATACATTACTTCACTTAAAGTAAATTACTTCAGTTGACTTAGAATTCGTCACTTAGTATAAGTATATTTCTTCTAATTAGAAAATTAACTTGAGGAACCTATAAAAAATTAAGTTAATTGTAAAGAGGAATGGCGGGAAGTGAAATATTTTGAAAAAATTTTAGCCAATAGAATGAAATTTTTTTGTAAGGGAATCAATTTATTTTATTTCACATATGCCAAACATAGACTAATTACTTTAAAAAATGGTATGAATTGTGTTTTTTCCATTTCTAACGTCCTGTTTGGTTCCAAAAGACAACAACCCCGTCGAATTGTTTTCGAAACTTACAAACACAAAATGCTAAACACAGTACCAAGTACAAAGTGGTACCATTAGATAGCTTGCAACATTTAGGTACATTTCCGATCCAACACACAAGTAAAAGTAATTTCTAAATTTGTACCTTCAACTACCATTCCTTACCAGAAAAATAAAAATGTTATAACCTCATTAACTGCATCTAATTGGTGCAAAAGAACAAAAACCAGATACCTATAATTAGATTCCCTGATAAAATAGCTTTTGGTCATCTTGGAAATGTATTGGCAATAAAGTTAAAGATGTTAGACGGAATAGTTTCGCAAAGAGGTGAAAGATGATATATTTCTTGTTGTAATTGTGGAAACGCAGTGATTATATAATGTGTCTAAAGTTTTTGTTTTTTTAGGTGGAGGGATAGAACATGATTGTATAAACAAACGGTGAAAAAATGTTAAAAAGTTTCATCAAGTGATGAAAGCAGCAGCATAATTAAGAACCTCGACCAAGCAAATTCAACCTTCATTTTCTTGAACTAAGTGTTTCTGCAGAACACTGTATAAAATAATGTTTGGTAATGTTGGAATCAAAAACTCAGAACGGGTCTAATATTAATGTTTGTTTATGAATGCACTTAACATATTAATCCATTTTGGCCATTTCTTAACGTCTCTTTCTGTCTGTTCAAACAGTAGGGGCTGTAAAATTAAATACAGATTCATATATTTCAAAGATTTTTTAATATCAGAAAATTAGTTTAAGAACTAATAATGAGCATGTTCTCTTAAAAATATATCAGAGATGTTTTTATTGATGATGCTTTTTAATGAAGTATCTAATTAAAAATAATGACAGAAAAAAAATGACACTTAAATTTTGAATTTATTAGTTTTATCTCTAACATTATTTTTAAAATAATTAATATTATTATTATTATAATCAAGAGTAATAATTTTAATCTGAAAAATTAAAACTAAAATATTTTCAAAAATGATATAAATGTCATTTGTTTTATAAATTATGAGTGGAGAGAGAAGGTCCACATCGACACTCTGCACGAAAACATTGACGATGATGTATGGATGAGGCCATAATTATTCTCTAACAAAGTATGAATTATCTATATTGCCCTTTCGGTAACAATTTTCACTCCGAACCAAGCACGTGAAACATCATAAGATGCGAATGTGATGCAACGTATCAAATACTAAAATAAAAGTCTGTTTCGAAATTCAACAATAAAAATGTTCTCAAAACCCATCAGTCAAATGAAACCCTAATCATTGCTGATATGAAATTTTAGATTCAAACCCAATCCATTCAACCTCCTCACGCACTTCTTCAACGCGTGGGACCACCTCCTCAAAGTAATACATTTTTTTGTTTTTATTATTTTTATTCAAACATTAATTAGATGTCACCGTACTAAACCATGAAGGGATGATTTGGTTTTTTTGGTTTTGCAAATTGGGATTGCGTAAATTGTAATTTTACTCTTGGTTTTAAAAAATGATTGTAATTATTACTGAATTCGAAAATAGATTATGATTAGCACAACCTAAATACTTCAATAATCATATCTACTGCATGATTATGCACGCTGAAAGAGATAAAGACATTATAATGACACAGTACAAATAAAATCTGACATTGTGTATAAAGATTAAAGTATAAAAATGATTAAATTATTTTAACTTTTTTATAAAATTTATTATTATTATTATTTTTAATTGAATACATATCATTTTAACACGAAAAAAAGTATGAAATCCATGGACGATAAGGCACAATAATGTGCGTCTATTCACTAAGTTAATAATTTTTCTCTTGAAAAAGTATCCTTAGAAAAGTTGAAAAATAACCTTAAAGTTTGTATATTTATCCTTACAAATATATTTTTTAAAATATAATTAAATCATGAATAAAAAATATTTAATAAAATTAACATCAAAGAGTAATTTATAAAAATAAAACATCTTTCTAGAAAATATTAAATTAAATAATAACAATTGTTTAATAAGATTTGATTAAAATTTTCAGTTTAATTATTAATCTAAAATTTAATATTAGACTGTAGTTGTGTGAGATGACAAGGTTGTCATCTAGTAGTGGTATAAAGTTTGAGAAAGATTGTCTTCTTTGGAATCCAGACAGAGAAATATACTGTTTTTTGTTTCTTTTTACGAAAAATGTTTGTTGTGGATTAAGGACAACCCTTAAACTCCACGCAAATCTAAATTTAATGACAGAGAAAATTCCCTGGGAATAAATTGCCAACTGTGATGAGAATAGACACAGTAGTAAGGGAACATATTTAGCAGTGTCTCTGTCATTACCATTTGATGCTTTGCCATTATAGATGTTCTTTCCACTTGATCGGTACTTATTAGCTGGCAATTTCAGTAGGAGTTTTGTAACTTTGTTAATAAAATTAGTGCTAAATTTGGCTTCCAAATTTAATTTCTTTCACTGTTTATGGCCTAACACATGAAGTACTATCAATGACAAACTCATTTTGTAGTGACACAGACGTTTCAACCATTACTAGTGATTGAAACAAATCCTAATCAGCAGTGTAATACCCCACATACACAAAATCCCACCTTTAAATTTTCCTTAGCAAGCTTTCCTTTTATGGACCATTAACACAAAGTAGTTTTAAGTTTTCTGTTCATTGTTCTTTTACTGCATCCTAAAAGTAATACAGCAATAAGCACTGTGTAAGTGAACTGTTAGAACTACAATCCAAACCAGCAATTAGTTAGTATACACCAAAAGAAAAGTTCTAAAAAATAACCAAGCCAAATTCTTTACTAGATGTAAATAATTTGGTACAAGAGAAAGGACATGTTTGAAAAAAGAAACTCTTTAATTAAAAGAATGTACACAAGCAGAATTGAGAATTTCATCCCTGAACTTATAAGTTGTAAGCAGAAGTAAAAAACAAATTCTAGATATTACTAACACCATTTAGACTCCAATTGCCTCTCAAATTTCCGTGATTCTCCAACTGTGACTGTCAAAAATTCCAGGATTCTTGAGTCTGGAAGAAATTGGATGATGGCCTTTGCATTCTAACACTACTTATGCTGTTTCTTGCTGCCATCACTTCATTGAGTGAGAGCCTTTTCTTGGGTTCGGGTCTTTGTTTTGGAGCACTGTGAGACCTTAGTTTTGCCTTGAATGACTGAGTATTGGCCATGTAGTTGGGAAAATTAGAGCAAGGTCTGAAGAAGGTGTCTCCACAAACGCTCTTGGCTGGTGTAGCCGGAGCATTAGGGCGAGCATAGTTTGTAAAACGTGGGGTGCTATGAGCAGTGGAAAATCTACACTCATCAACATTGAAATACCAATCAAAATCTTGAAGGTGTCTGCAATCAGGAATGGAGATTCGGCCAGGGACATGACAAGGAAGAGGGGATGACATTCCATGACAGGGCATGTCTTCTCCACACTCAGACATTGTAGAGGTAAAGCGCCTAGACCTTGACCGAGTCTTGTATGTGTCAATTTCAACAATCTTGGGACTCTCATCAAAACTATTCAAAGATGTTTCATAGGATGTAGGTAACCTTTTACTGTGGAATTCACTCCTTGGTTCATCAAATCGTTCCTTAAAGTACAAAAGAACACAAGCAAATAAGACTTTTTTTTTTTTGTTTGGTATTCATTCAGGACTAGAAAATGTTTCTTACCACAGATTTTCTTGCGAGAAATTCAGGTAGAAATCTGCTTTCCTTGCTCAAGGATCTACGAGCTCGCTGTGTTCTGACAGCAGTTTGAGCTCTTATCAGAGCTTGCATGCTGTGAAGAGTTGCAGCAGCCCTCTTTCTAACCAAGTACCCTCTAACAAGAGCCTGTATCTTAACCAATCCTTTCAGTGCTCTAAGAGCCTTCCGTGCCTGAAAATAAACACCTAAGTTTAAATTGAAGGTGCTAATGGAACTTAATAAAACCATGAAATTGACAATCATTCAAATATTGAATATGGTTTAAAAGGTATCAAACGGAACAAATGAGGATTTGAATAAGAAGAAAAGTCAACAAGAATGTCCAGAGAATGAAAATAGAAAGGGAGAGACACTGTTTCATTAAGAATCTAAAATAATATTTGAGAGGAGACAAAGGAGTAGGAATCAAGCAAAGCACTTCTCTTACACCAACCAAATATATTTGTCCAAGACAGAACCACCATAATCACAAATCAATGCAATTTACTAAACACTTCAAAAAAAACAAAGGCAGACATACATACTTACGTATATTCGTACAGACATGAACAACACAAATTTAATTTGAACCATCACAAGAAGAGAAGACTCGTACCAAGTAGCCTCTAAAAAAAGTTTGGATCTTCACAGCAGCCCACTTCTCCCTGCTTCCACTGAACAATGCACCTCTACCTTGACTTGTCAGCCTCACAACCGCCACTGCAGCCTGTGCGGCTGCCACTGCGGCGTCGGCAGCAGCGGCAGTGGCAGCGGCAACGGCAATTGCATGTTTGTTCTGCTCATTCTCTGTTTCAGCAATGTAGGATCTGAGCCAGGTGTTATCTGTGGCAGGAACTGAAGATGGCACATCCTTCCCTGGCTTAGCAAAACTCCACCTTTTCTTCTCCTTCTTGTCAGGAGCCAGTGAGCCTGAATTGTCACTGTGGTCCTTCTCCTTCTTCATCCCCAACAAACCCTTGAACCACCTGCTAGCTTTTCCCATAATAACTTCACAACTTTTGAGTTACGATCTGGAACGAGAAACGGTGCCAAGGTTAAGTGAAACTTTGCCTCTCCTGGTTAAAGATAAGAGAGGTTTGCGTGCAAGTGAACAAATGTAGCAACCAAGTGAAGCCAGATGTTGTTTCAATATTCAAGGGACGGGTGAAAAGAAAAAACTGAAAATGAAAAATCTTGGTTTAAAATATGGAGGGACAAAGAAGCTGGTGGAGTTTAGTGCAAAAGAGAGGGTGTAAAGTGTAAAGAATCTAGCAGAAGAGAAGTGATGAGAGCAGGATGTTGTGTGTATGGATGAAAAGATTAATAAACTGGGGTAAAAATAATGCATCAAACAAACCTTAAATTAAAGTGAGCAAGGAAAAAGAAAAACGGATAAAGATGGAACGTTTTTTGAAAATAAACCTCTGACAGGACCTCGTGAAGAACTGCATTAGAGGACAAAAAGCGGTCACAGAAAGTTAGCAGAGGCTAAAATGATAAAACATTAAAAAACTTCAAAAATCTCACCCTCGAGTAGAGAGACAAGAATTACAGACAAAGCACAATGGTGAAATCCTATGAAAAAAGTGACAATAATCATAGGAAAAAGCCTCCAACACCCAAAACAACACCTTCTTATCTGATCTTGAATTCAAAAAAGAGAAAGACCGCCGAATTCTCTTCCCTTCCCCTCCCACCCCACTCACTCACTCCAATAACTCTCTCTCTATCTCACTTTATATTGTTAGAATTATCCTACAAAAATAAACTGCAATATTATTATCACTTTGTTGCTCTCTCTCTAACTTTCTGGAGCAACGTGTAGTACATACGAAAGATACCCACTGACAACTATCCCGTGAGCTTGGTTCAAAGGGGGCATTGAGTCCCTCTCCCACCCTTTCACTATCTTGCTTTATTTGAGAGAAAAAACTGGACTGTGAGTTAAGTTCTGCAACCGAATAACACCACTTTTAAAGACTAAAATAAAAACTTGCTACCATTGATGGTACACTGTGCTGTGTACCATTCATTAAAGGCTATACCAACTAAAGGGTTGCTTTATATCATCTTTTTTGTCCCGATAATACCCCATTTTTGCCTCTCAACACTTTCTCCCTCACCTCACCATCATCTCCATTGCTTACCTCTGCCACACTTTCTCCAAACCAAAGTCCCCCCTAAACACCAGCCTTTCCAAACGCCTCAATCCACAAACCAAATCAATTCATTCAATGCTGTTAGTTGTTACCCCTTCAACTCCCTCTCTCTCTCTCTCTCTCTTTGGGATATACACCCTAACAACAAACACTATCTTGATCTGATTTGGATAATTAATAATAATTATCAGGTTAAGATTCAAATTTTGAATTTAAATATTTTTTAATTAACAGTATCTTGGGGGATTGAAGTGCTATTGGCTGGTTTCAGAGGGAATGCCAAAAAGACAAAGTAAAACTCTAGTGTGAGGAACCATTAAGTAGGTTTTATCATAAGGTGACAGAATAGTGTGAGATAAGAAACATTTTCCCCGAACATTTTGGCAGACAGTCGGAATCCTAATAAATTCAATTCAATGTGCCCTTCTGTGTTTATCACAACGAAATACCAAATTGAAATGAAAATGATACTCCTTGCTTCCTACAAATTTCATCGTTTACATTTGCATCGCATCACAATTGTATTTCACAAGAGAAAAATTCAACCAACTTTGCTTCACCCATCAAACATGATCTCAATTCCTTCAATTTCTCTTATCTAATACCTCAACTTGACAAGTCAACGGCGAGATTAGTTGACCCAGATTTTTTTTTAAAATTTAAAATAAAAAAAATCAAATAGTAGCCATTACTTGTAAGTAATTTAGTAGAGTTTAGTCTATATCTTAATAGTTTTTTGCCAAATGTTAAATTGATTGGACGAATTGTCACGGGTCAACTCATACCAAAGAAACGCATCAAACAAACCCTTTTCATTTCATACGATTATAACTTCCAACACTTCGTAATTTTCCCCAAAATAATTCTTACCCTTTTTCGGAACAAATGAAACAACATTTCCCAGGAAAACTAAAAATACTGAGCACCCGTGAATTATATGCTAAGTTTCAATTTTCGGCTTCAACTTCAACCTTGAAAATCATCATAAGCTTTGGTCATTTTTAAGATTTTTTACACCATAAACAACTAGACACGCGCACCATCATAATATTAGATAACCTTATTTATTATGATGCAAGTTTTTGACAAACTTTAAAAAATATGATACCATATAGCAGTTCACTGATAATGCAAAATCTTCTGCAACATCGATATAACTAAAGCTGAATTCTGCGCAAATTTTAATCAACTATACAGCACATAGTAGCTCGACATGCATTGGAATTTTTGTGTATATCCGACCCCTTTTGACTTAGACGTGTGAATAGTCAATATATGTTAAGTAGATGTTAGAAATTGGAAAGGAAAAAGGTTTGAAATATAGTTTTGACTGCATTGTGTATGGAGTGTACTGTGCAAAATGGTCCTGAATCATTGCAATGAGTGAGTCCAGTCTGGTATCTGTACCCATTACTTACTGAGATTCAGTGAAAGGGTAGGGACCGATCTAAAGAGTTCCATATCCAACCAGAGAGAGTAGGTACTATTGGACCACCATTTATTTCCTTTATAGTATTTGCCTTAGGTAACAGTTTGCTTCTCACAACCTCAACTGCTTCTTTGACCATGCTTTTTTTGTCATAGGCTACTAACCAGGTTGCTTCTCATCCCCAAACCATTGTTCAGTCCAAAACACACCTTTGTTTCCCAATACCACTTTCATTGATGTCATTCAAATGAACTTTTCTGTTTGCAACTAAGTCAAAGAGTAATAATAGATCATGTGAGTACAAAGTATATATATATATATGATCACTGCCACAAAATATTATGAAATAAGACTTGCTAAAACTTGACTGTAACAAATATAAGAGTCATTATTTGTCATGAATCCTAACATAAAAAAAAGGTGATGAACTAATTAAGAAAGCATTGATGAAAATGGGCACCACAGAGAAGAATTGTGAAAATGGTTGAGGGAGACAGAAGTGATCCAGCTAATATATGCAGTGAGAAGAGATTTTATGATTGACCAAATTTATTTAGTTAGATGCAATAACACTGATAGAATGTGAATGGTAGCCTTTTTAGTATGGGCTTGGATTAGGGTGGCTACTTGGATCATCTACATACAATTTTTATTTTTTTCAGTCATATCTGGTTTCTGCTCTTATAACATTTTTCATTGTTCTTTTTTTCTTCTAAACAAATTAAATTCTTTCAAAACCTTTGAGATTTTAATTAATTGTTTTTAATATATAATACTCATTCTAGGATGGACTTTTAATATATCATGATTCCACAAAAATCTAGAAGGATTTGTTGACATGACATGATCCAAACTTTTTTTTTTCAGATAGAAATAGTTGATCGATGTCATATAATAAAAAGTATTGTTTATATATATATATATATATATATATATATATATATATATATATATATATATATGAGAGAGAGAGAGAGAGAGAGAGAGAGAGAGAGTTCAAATTTTCAACACATTAACCCACTGATGACTTTTCCTGTTAAATCCACCAAAAATCATTTAGCAGGGTTTATATTAGTCAACCTGACAATTTTTTTTCAAATTATTATTATTATTATTACTCCTTATTATTTATTTATTTATTTATTTATTAAATATTTATTTATTTATTAAATATTATAATAAAAAATAAGATATATAATATAACATTTAATACTTCTCTTTGTAGCTTGACGTAGGAGAGAAATAGACTCTTATGTCGTATTTTTTTGTACTTATTCATTGATTCTTTTGAAAATTATGCTTTTGCACTTGTTCATTGATCCAAACAAATATATGTTTATAATTTCTAGAAACAAACAAAATCATGCTCTATTTTGTTTCTTACATTTTGAATAATTCTTTACATTTTGAATAACAAATGATCCCATTAATAACATCACTATAACAAAACCCTGCTAGGTTTGAAAAAAATAATATAATTGTTTTAATTATCATATAATTGAAACAATAGGCTTTATTTTATTTTTTTATTTTTTTTGTTTAAATCAAATTAATAATTTTTGTCATTTTTAACATGTTTGAATAAATTTATTTAAAATATCATAAAGAAAAACAATTTTCTATCTTTTAAAAAATAACTTAAAATTATTTGTTGTAAAAGAAACAGACATCACACCTCATATTATGAATTTATTTAAACACAGTTTTGGGTCAGATCATGGCTTTTAAACGGTCCATCTCCTCGATGTAACGGGCATACGGCCTTTTCTTTTCTTTATTACTTTTCACACCATCATACAAACTCTTTAGAAAAAGTGATTGAATACATCTTTAAAAAAGAATATTTAAATAATTTATAATTATATATAAGAAAATTTTAATATTATAAGAGAAAAAAATAAAATATTATAATTAAAAAATATTTATTATAATTTATATATTTGAAAAATAATACATAGGAAAAATATAATACATAACTAAAAAAAATTAATATATTTAAAGGATAAATAAAATTTAATTATAAATAAAATTAATTATAAAAAATAAATATTATAATTTTTTAAATCATAGATATTAATCTATAATTATAAAGATTTGTTTTATAATTAATTTTATGTCATAAAAAATAAAAAAAATTAAAAAAAATTATTATAATTTTGATATATATAAGAGAGGAAAAATTATAATATAATTAATAAAAACATAATATATTTAAAAAATAGAAAAAGTATTACAAAATATTTATAACAAATTAATTATACATCAAATATAGACATGCTTACATTTTATTACGTATGATTCTATTAATAATAATATAATTCACATTCCAAATTTTTAATAATAAATAAAATAAAGAAATGACTATTTTGCAACAAATATTTTTTAAACTATTAAATAAATTTTTTTTAAACAGTTAAACAATATATTATAAACTAAAATATATTTTTTGGAGAAATCATTTTAATTAAAAGCTTGGAGAAATATTTTGCTTTTTAACGTATGTTTGTTAAATTGTTATGTGCTGAAAATTAAAAAAAAATATATCACTCTTATAATAAAAAAATATAAAAAAAGTGTTCAAAGTGATATTTAAATAAGTTTTTTCTACCCATAGTATTCATTGTACCGTTACATTTTCAACCATTACATTTTCTTTATGTTAAACATGTTTTTAATTGTTATAGAGAAAAAATATTTTACTTTAATTTTTGATCAAATATTATTTATTTTTGTTTTCATTCATGAAAATTTGAAAGTATTTTTTTAAATATATTATTATGAAGTATTTTTTGAAATATATTATTATGTCACATACTTAATTGTTTACTGTGTGTTGAGTGAAAGTTGAAGGGATTATGATAGGTTACATAAATTAATATCATATAATTCAAACAAATGTTTTTTTTTATTATATTGAAAAGAATAATTTTAAATTTTATAAAGATAAAATTAAAAAAAATTATAAACAAAAAAAATTTATGATTTTGAATTTTAAAACAATGAGAAAATAATTCAATTTAGTTAAACCAGCTAACATAAAAATTAGTTTTTTTTTAAATGATTAAAAATATATTGAAACTAAAGTTTTAACCCAAAAATATAAGGGTGTATTTAATTATAATGTGAATAAATTTAAATATTATATATATATATATATATATTAAAATAAATAAAAGTCTCATATTATATTACGCCTCACAAAAACAAATCGATTAAAATTCAAAAGAATACTAATTTTCAAATAGTTTTTTAATAATTATTTTTATACATTTCAGTTAAATATTTATATTTCACTTTTTATAAATAATTTACATTAGAAATGATTTTGTGAAACTACACCTTTATACATTAGTTATTATCTTTTATTTTTATCTTATCTATTCTATTTTTTATTATTTTTTAATTTCTATAAGGTCTAGAGTTTTAGGATTTTAAATTTATTATTATTTTTAACATCAAATAAAACTTCTATATATTTTGTTTACTATAATAAAATAATAATAATAGTATTCACTATACTTCAAATATTTTTATATTTTAGTAGAAATGAGATTCTGGGTGATACATCAAGAAAATTTTAAATAAGTGTTTCATGTCATTTAAATATCTAATACCGAAAATATAATTGATTTCCTTTAATATAATTTTTGATTATTATATTCTAAAAAAATAAATTAAGCGATCAATTGTTTTGTTTTCATATTATTACCTAAGATATTTTAAATAAATTTATAATTATTAACCAAAAGCATTACCCTAAATTTAGAAAATTACCAATATATTTGTTCTCAAGTCATAGTACAAATTTAAATTATAATATAACCACGTAATAATTATATTTGTTAAAAATTTTGACTAATTTGATATTAACATTTTTATATATTTTTCAAACTATCAAATTATAAATTATTAAAGAAATCTTAATGTAAATATATTTGATGCAAAATGGTGGTAATAGTTTTATGATAATGTAAAAAATATTGAAGAGAAAGAATAAAAAATATAAAGAATAAATTTGTAACTTTAAATTTGATTTATCCAAAATATCTCTAATTCTTTTCACTAATCAACTCTTCAAATGAAAAAAATATATACAGAGATACGTTTTTAAGTACAATCTAATATATATATATATATATATATATATATATATATATATATGGTGTAAATTAAATTTTATAAATTAAAATATAATTTGTTTAAATATATTGATAATGTAATTTGCTGTAAATTAAATTTTATAAATTAAAATATAATTTGTTTAAATATATTGATAATGTAATTTTTTGTCATATAATATTTCAATTTGATATTCAGTATGAAGTTAAATTAATTAATATATACCGTCAGAATAAATATTTTAAAATATTATTTCGGATGAAATCTTAAAAGATAATGACATAATATTTAGGTAAATACTTTTGGAAATTATAGATTATGGACGGATAAAATAAAAATAAAATATTTTGAAACAGCAATAAAATAAAACAAAAAGATCATGGATTGATAAAAAATGCGATTCTATAAATATCTGAGAAAAAAAATCCAAAACCGCTAACCCCACCATTGCATTCACCGCGCTTTCTCTTTGCCACTCCCTTCCAAATCTCTCTTTCTTCCAACCCTCCTTCGGCAGCAACCCCTTCCAATCCTTTCAGATCTCCCTTTTTTTTTTCCTCTGTGTTATTTTTTTCTTTTGCGAACTAGGGCTTTTAATTTCCCAATTACTTGTACTTTCCCCCTTGTTTCTTTCCTTTTTTTTTTTGGTTTCTCTCTTTTCTTCTTCTTAGGTATCGATTTTCGGGTTCTGTTGGATTTTTTATTGGGGGTTCGTCTGAATTTTCGATCAGTTTGTTTTTAATTTTTTTTTTCTGGGTATCAGTTTTATCTGAGGAAAAGCAAAGAAAAATTATAAAAATATTCCTTTTTTTATTTGGGGTATTTGGTTGTTGAGATCATGGGGAGCTCTGAAGGGGTGGGGGCATCGTCGACTCAATACGGTATCACGAAGCCCATTTCGACGGCTGGGCCAACGGTTTCTGATTTGCAAAGAACTATTGAGTTAGAAAAGGTTAGTTTTTTTTGTTTACTGATTATTGATGTACTTATTTGTCTAAAAAATTCTTTGCTGTGTGTGCAAGTTTCTCGTTGTCTCGGGACTTTATGAGAATAAAGAAGAAACTGCTAAGAGAGAAGAGGTTCTTCACCGACTTGAACAGGTAAAGGGAGAGATATAGATAGATAGTGTTTTCCTTTGGTGATTTTTTTGTAATGATTGATGCGATGTTTGGGTTGATGTAAGTGTTTGATAACAACAATTAATGTGAGATAACTATGTGTATTAATGATGATGCCTAAGTAGGAGTTTACTTCTCTTAACGTTTAGTCTAATTGAATGGTTGATTCATGTTCACTACTGTTTATCAGAATTGATTAGGGCGTTGATTGAGTGGATGATGAGAACATCTTTTTTTTTTTTAAGTCTATTCTTCTGGTAATAACAATCATTATAGTTTGAATTGAGATGATGATAATAAAATCTTATTGTGCGATTATGCAAGTCGTGTATAGATATAAATATATTTTATCCAGGACTCTAAACCTTTAGAGTTAACCATTGCTTTAAATTGTCTTGTTTATTTCAGATAGTAAAAAAATGGGTGAAGCAACTTACGCGCCTAAGGGGATACACCGATCAAATGGTGGAAGATGCAAATGCTATTATTTTTACTTTTGGTTCTTATCGGCTTGGTGTGAGTATCTTACCTCCTTTCTTGACTTGCACATCTTTGTAAATTGGCTATTGTTGTAGAATCAGACAAATATTATTATTTTTGGATTTGATTACTCTGGTTGAGAATGTGATAATTTTACTGTTTGGTATTGTTTTTTATGCTTTTGAACAATATTTATACTCTGTCAAGTTTTGCATGCAATTTTCTGCACCTGTTTTTTATTTGTGGATCAGTTTAGCTCATCTTCATTTAATTTTTATTATGCAGGTTCATGGTCCTGGGGCTGACTTAGACACAATATGCATTGGACCTTCCTATGTGAATCGGGAGGTATATTGGGAGTGCAAATATTTTTGTGCCTGTGGTCCGTTCTAATTATTCATTTTTGTACCTGATTTTTCATATTGTCATTATCAGGAGGATTTTTTCTACACATTGCATGATATCCTAGCTAACATGGAGGAAGTCACCGAATTGCAACCAATTCCGGATGCTCACGTCCCAGTTTTGAAATTCAAGTTTGATGGAATATCAATAGACCTCCTTTATGCCAGTATTTCTCGCTTGATTGTACCTGAAGTAAGAGAAGTCATCTTATTTTTAACTAATTCCTTAAACAAAAAGCAAATGTTTTTTGTTCCAGATCCAGTTGTCTATCATTCAGTTTTTTGTCATATTTTGTAACTTTGTTTTGCTTTTAACACGTCAACAGGACTTGGTTATTTCTGATGTCTCCGTTCTACACAATGTTGACGAGCCTACTGTGCGAAGTTTGAATGGCTGTAGAGTTGCAGATCAAATTCTGAAGCTTGTTCCTAATGTTGAGGTGCCTTTTTAGGCTGTTGTTTGTGTCTTACTGTGTCAAGTCTTCTTCCATGTCACATTATTTACTATGGTCCTAATACTTTTAACAAGTGTACTTTTTGTATGGCTTACAGCACTTTCGCACAACACTTCGGTGCCTGAAATTTTGGGCCAAAAGGCGAGGCATTTATTCCAATGTGAGTGTTATTTTTAAATTTTTCCCTCATTGCAAATCCAGTAAATTGGTTTGTTTATTTTGAATGTACTGGCTAATTTATTTATCCTCTTTTAATGTTCTTTCAGGTGACAGGTTTTCTTGGTGGTGTTAACTTGGCACTTCTTGTAGCTAGAGTGTGCCAGTTGTATCCAAATGCAGTTCCAAGTATGCTTGTTTCTCGATTCTTTAGGGTATATACACAGTGGCGGTGGCCAACTCCTGTCATGTTATGTCCAATAGAGGAAAATGAACTTGGTTTTTCTGTTTGGCATCCCCGCAATCCTCGTGACCGATCCCATCTCATGCCAATTATTACGCCTGCCTATCCCTGTATGAATTCTAGTTATAATGTTTCTACTAGCACACTTCGTGTTATGATGGAACAGTTCCAATTTGGCAACAAAATCTGTGGGGTAGTCACTATTCTTTTCTTGTTGAGTTTGATAGAAATAATCAGGGTATAAATACTATTTTTTTTGTAAATAATTAATTCTTTTTTTGTCTAAAAATATCCAGGATGTAGAACTGAATAAAGGTTGTTGGAAGGCTCTGTTTGAACCTTATGGGTTTTTTGAAAGTTATACAAACTACTTGCAAGTTGACGTAGTTGCTGCTGATGTTGATGACTTGCGCAATTGGAAAGGTTGGGTGGGATCACGCCTTCGGCAGCTGACTTTGATGGTATGTGCATTTATTTTATTTTGGTGAAACCAGAACATTAACTTAATTTTCTAGTGTCTCATTGGATGAATTTGATTCCTTTTTGTAGATTGAGCGGGACACTTTTGGGAAGTTGCAGTGCCATCCCTTTCATCAAGAGTATACAGATACCTCAAGGCAGTGTGCACATTGTGCATTCTTTGTTGGTTTGCAGAGGAAGAAAGGAGAGTTAGTTCAGGAAGGTCAACAATTTGATATACGAGGAACAATTGAAGAATTTTTGCATTCGGTTAATATGTATATGTTCTGGAAACCAGAGATGGAGATTTATGTTTCTCATGTTCGTAGAAGGCAAATACCATGCTATGTGTTTCCTGATGGTTATAAACGAATGCGACCATCAAGGCCAACGTCAAAATCTAACAATCATAAATCATTTCATAAAGATGAGGTTGCTGGGACTGAACATGTTGAGAGAATTCGTAAGAGGAAGAACATTGATGGGTTGGGTGTCATCGAGGATGCTACACTGAAAAAGCAATGTACTAGTCCTCCTGAAGATAGAAGGGCAAGTCGCAGTGGCCTTCATACTGGTCGTTCGTCTGTTAATGCTGTGTCTGATAGTCAACATTTGAGAAATATGGAGTGTAATCATTTGTCAAACAGTGGGCAAGAGTTGGAAAGGACAGAGTCTCCTGAGTCTACCTCTAATTCGAGTGGGATTGCTTCTGTTACAAGTGATAGTGGTTCTTCTGAAGATATTGGAGCTGTATCTGTGTCAGGTTGTCTTGAAGATAGCAGCAGAAGTGTTGATATGATGAACAATAATGGCAGGTTTGAGAGTAGTACTTGTGGGAACAATTCTATGAAGCTGGTGAAAAACAGAGTGACAAGTGGTCATGAAGTATTTCAACACGAGCTACAGGAGCAGTTGCAGGTTTTGGCTTTCAATTCCTTTCTGAATATTTGCTTTCTCTGTTATTCTTTTTATTACTGTCTTTACATTACTGTATGTATATATACTTTTGTTTGGTCCGTGCAGTACTTTTACCCATTTTAATCATTCTTATTTTCCTCAATTTAATGTAACTGTGTATAAATTTACGGCAAGTGCACTACTGTGTAAGGTCTTTCCTGAAGTACTTCAAGGCTAAAATGCAATGATTACATGGCTTATGGTGATATATGTTCACTAATTTTGAGTGAAGCATTAAAGATATAAATGTAGTCAAAATTGTGCATAAGATCATTCCATAATTTCATATATCATGTTTGATTTTTTGCTTATACAAGATTGCATCAAAGTAGGATTGAAGAAGAAGATCGTGAAGTTGAGTAGTAGTGTAAAATTGGATTATTAAATAAGAAGTTGAACTATAGTTTATTATCTCATAAATTTAATGATGGGATATTATTTTTTGTAAAAAAATGATATTATTACTTAATAAAACTTTTGAATATTAGATGTATATTTTATAAAAGTCAATCTTATTATTCAAGTTCAATATAATCATGATGAATGATAAATAAATTTATAATTTAGTATTTTACTAGTTTAAATTATTTTATTTTTCATTTAAGTTGAGATTTGTTATGTTTTTTTTTTAAATGATTTATAATGAGTAATTTTAATAAAATATTTTAGAGTGTGACTTGATATATTATATTATTTGTATGATTATATAGATGGATATATATATATATATATATATATATATATATATATATATATATATAATATTTATGTAGGATTAAGATCTGTTGTTGGCGTTACAATCCCACGGTGTACAATCTTGTAAGATCCCACCAACTATAATCTCGATTTTGACTAGCTTGATAGATAGACTAATAAAAGGGTGCAAGTGGTGCACACAGGAAGAATTTTGCCCATCTACAATTATAAATTTTCAATAATATCTTTCCATTTTAGGTTATTCTGGACAATGAGGTGTACTGACCAATTTGCCATTTTTCTCTCCTGGGCTCTATTGTGTAGCAAAATGCAATGCTAGGGATGGTTCTTGATTCTACAGGAAAGGTTCATTTAGAGGCTGTGCAACGACCGGTGATAAGGCATGTTCTTCATATTTAATAATTATTCTGTTTAGAGCTTTTGTCTATCTGTATTTTTTCTTTATGCTGTCTCTTGTGCTTGTTTGGTGTATGACAGGAGATTGAGTGTGGCATCTACAGTGTGAAGGAGCAGTAAGTATGTGTGCGTGGGATTGGACAAAACAGGAGAGCCAGCAATTAGGGTAAGTAGTAATTTAAATGGCTGGCTTTCATTTCTCTAATTTTTTCAGGCTTGCTTGGCCATTCAAGCATGCAAATTGCAACTGATCCGCATCAAGCTGAAGAGCTGGAGCTGTGATTTGTTAGAAGCCACTTGTACAGTTTGCATTTTTTGTGCCTTTGACTCAGCTAACTATTCTATATCTTGTTTAGGATTCTCCTAAACTTAGGGCTTATTTGACATCCTGCTTTACATGGCTTTGCTTTCTCTTTTTCTAGAGTTAGGGGGCGAGCGTGGGGGATTGGGTTGGGTTGGCTAGTGTTTCCTAGCAGAGGGTACTTAGTATGAGCAACATTTTTATACTCATTCGTCTGTAAATGCCTATCACAGGTTAGTTTATAAACTTAACACTGTATGGCAACTGCGATCTCAATCTTCTGCTCTACATTTCTTTCAATCTTTCTCGTTTCCTTAACGTCTACTCTTATCGTCAAACTTCCAAAACCATGCATTAAGAAAACCAATTTCCATGTACAAATCATGGTTCAATCCCAATCCAAAAACTTACTAATAACTCCTTCCTCTTAAATCCTACTGACACGGATATCATAGCAATAGGGTGCGTTTATTTGAAACTAACCAAATCAATTAATTGTAAAATACGTATAATAATAAGTGGCTCCGCAAATTTTTCGTAATCACAAGGAATTTGTTACTAACAAATCACCGAATTTGAAAGAAGTAGCAGCTTTGTAATTACTAAATGACATAATTTAACATTTTATGTTTGTTTGAGAATTAATTAATCATTACAAATTAAATGTCAATGAACAATTTTTTTGATTTGTTTTGCAACTAACAAAATATCAGACATATTTTTACATTTCAGAGGTTCGTCGAACGAACCTACATTTAGGTGTAGTGATACCGTTATGGTAAGATACGCTTACGTGCGAACTCAATTAGTGAATTATTATTATGATTGAATTGTCAAGTGTATTTTATGAAAGAGTCGTCTGTATATCATTGTTATTTTTATACAATAAAGAGATTAAGAAATATAAAAACTCTTGAAACAAAATAACATTAAATTATATTTTCCTGTACACAATAGACAGAGAGGTACACGAAGTACAGATCTATTTCTTTATTTAAACCACAATCTTTATTTAAACCACAATTTGTCACAACGTGTGATGAAATTTATGACGAGGAGGTTGTTTTTGCTTTGTTTTGTATGTGACGTTGTTTTGCTTTCCACAATCACCCTCGTACACATGTCACCATAACCGAAATTTATTTTCAATTACCAAAAACAAATTCTCAGTTAAGCATCAGACAGAAACAACTATTGCAGTCACTCAATTTATTTCCAATCAAACAGTGACAAGCTTTAACTAAAATTAATTAAATTTGTTATTTGTTTTCCTAATTAGCCGCGTTGGTCAATAATATATGTTCACTTGCGCTTTCTATTTATACACAAAAGCATGATACAAAGGCAAACACTTGGTTGCGCGTTAAAGCCGATCAAGAAAGCAATATGAGGAAGGTGGTGGTGTGTGCGACGGTGATTGGAGCCGCGACGGCTTGCGCGGTGGGTGCGGTGGCGGTGCAGAGGTACGTGAGGAAATGTCGACAATGGGGAAGAGCGATGGAAATATTACAGGAATTGGAGGAGAAGTGTGCGACGCCGACGTGGAAGCTGAAGCTGGTTGCGGATGCCATGAACGTGGAGATGCACGCTGGCCTTGCTTCTGAAGGTGGTAGCAAGCTCAAGATGCTCATCACTTACGTTGATAAGCTCCCAACTGGGTATCATTCCATTCCTTTGTCCATCCAATCTACCTTCAATTTAAGATCTTCTCATTCTCTTATTACTATTTTCTTAGATCAATCCAAATCCATTTCCTTCTCCACATTTCTTCTTTTTACAAGTAGTTAGAAGTTTGTTACCACAGGAAACTGTTTATAGTAATTTTATCTAGTTTGAACAGGATTGTCTTTGTGACAATTAATGTGGTTTTAACCAAAAACAATAAACTTTAGAAACTTTAGATGTTGTTAAAGTTTTTGAGTGAGAAAGATATTCTCTTATATGCTTAGTTCGGTTCTGTTTGGGAGAATGTCATGTTGTTAATCCCTCGTAAAGATCCAACAACTTGTTATTACGTAAATGATTATATATTATCCTAGCTAGTTGATTGTTGATTATCGAAATCTAGTGTCTTCAAAAGAAAGCTGTTGCTTGCATAGCTAATGATGTGCCTTTGTGTTAGTAAAATGAGTTGTAGGAGCGAAGAGCATCCTCAATCTGGACTTTTTCTTGTATTTTTGCTAGAACACAATTGAAAAATGCAGTGAAATTGCAAAGCAAAAATGCTGGTGAATAAAGTGTAATTGGTCTTCCATAGCCATATATCCAGTGAACTCATGTTTTTGTGGTTCTTGCGTGAAGGGATAAGTCAGTGAGGTTACATACTTCAACTGCTCTAGTTTTCTGTGCTGAATGTACATTTTTTTCATCTCATGTATTGTATGATTTTTGGAACATTTTGAAATCTTATAGGCTGTGAACAAATAATGATACAGTTGGGTTGTTCTTATGCATCCCTTTCCCTTTTAGGAATGAGAAAGGACTATATTATGCATTGGACCTTGGAGGGACTAATTTTCGGGTGTTACGTGTGCAATTGGGAGGCAAGAATGGTGGTATCATTAGTCAAGAATTTACTGAGGTGTCAATTCCTCCCAATCTGATGGTTGGGACATCAGATGTAAGCTCTTTTTTTTTTGTATCCTATCAATTTGAAAATCCTCCTTTTTTCCTACAAGCTGTTTTGTTTACTCTTCTTCCTAACAGTTGTTGATCTATGTACAAATCATATAAGAAACAAGACCAATCTAAAATGAATTGTGATTCAGGCACTCTTTGACTATATTGCAGCAGAACTTGGAAAATTTGTTGCCCAAGAGAATCAAGATTTTCAAGTTCCTCCCGGTAGACAGAGAGAGATAGGTTTTACCTTTTCCTTTCCTGTCATGCAAACTTTAATTAATTCTGGGACTCTAATCAAGTGGACAAAAGGCTTCAACGTAGAAGACGCTGTAAATACTGTTTCCTGATTGCTTTTGATGTCTTAATTCTTTCTTGAGTATCTCTTTCTCAGTTGATTATAGCATTTCAGAGATATAACATTGTAATTTTATCTATCTTATGGCATTACCTAACACTTGAGTATACAATTGCATCACAAATTATAATATTCAGTATTATCTCATCTTAGTGGATTACACAACATAACGAGGACGTGATATATTTACAAGTTCTATAGAAACTTCATAAAAAAAAAATACTTTATACATCTTTTGATATTTTCTGTTAAACTTGTCAATGTGCAAATACTTTATACCGAAAGTCATGTAGTTTAATATTGTTGAAACTAATTTTGTAGGAGTTTTAGTTTCTACTAAATACTACATCTTTCACCCTTTTTTAACTTAGTTTTTGTTGTCTACATAGGTAGGTAAAGACGTTGTGTCAGCATTAATGAAAGCCATTCAGAAACAAGGCCTTGATATGCACGTAACTGCTCTGGTAATTGTCGGTTTGGACTCTTGCGATTTGCATAGCATCAATTAAATCAGAAGACTTTAAATCTCTTTGATTTTTATAAATATTATCATGCATTTACTTATATTTAGTACCTACCTATGCTAGGTCAACGATACAGTAGGGACATTAGCAGGAGGCCGATACACAAACAACAATGTCATTGCTGCTATTATTTTAGGTACCGGAACAAATGCTGCCTATGTGGAGCGTGTTCAAGCAATACCAAAATGGCATGGTCCTTTGCCAGATTCGGGTGAAATGGTGCGTAGTTTTTATCATTGTTTTCTTTTGGTCGAGTGTGTAGCCTTAAAAAAAAATTTACCTCTTATTTGATATGATCGATGGATTAATATGGAATCTTCTCTACTACATGATATGATTCTAGGTTATCAACATGGAGTGGGGTAACTTTCGCTCATCACACCTTCCATTAACTGAGTATGATCGTGCACTAGATGCTGAGAGTTTAAACCCCGGTGAACAGGTTAGTTTGTGCTACTTCTAAGTTCCATCTTCTCGACCTTGATAAACGAGATTATATATTTATTTGTCAACAAATCACAGATTTTTGAAAAGATAATTTCGGGCATGTACTTGGGAGAAATTGTTCGAAGAGTAATATGCAAAATGGCCGAAGAAGCTTTACTTTTTGGCGACCATGTTCCCCCAAAATTAAAAGAGCCCTTTATGTTAAGGTATAATGTTAGGTTTTTGAATAGTCATTCCATCAATGTGCTTTTGTTTCTTCAAATTTTTTTTATGTTTTCTCGCCAAAAACTGCTGTCTAATTCTGCAGTGGTTTTATAGTAAAAAAAAAAAAAAATTATATCATTGAGAGTTTCATAACTAAGAACCATGAACTTGAGTGTCATGTACAAAACATAGTGTTGTACACGGTCTGCATCCCTGTGCTCTTTTATAGCACACATCTTTTAAAGATAAACTTTTTTTATCTCATTTTTATTTTGAATGAAATAGGAGTCTATACTTCTGGCATTGTCCATACTCAAAGAAATCGATTATGGAGAGAAACAAAAATCACTACGAGTCCTACAATCTACAAATGATAACTTTTTTTTCTTGTTTTCATTTCATGTCTAATAGTAACTCTATACTACTATAAAGACCATAACATGTCTTATCATATCCATCAAAATGAAAAATTTTGTACATTGCTTCTCAGTTACTTGCATCGCATGCATGCCTAGTAAGATTTCTAGTTGATTTTGATGAATCTCAATATTTTCTTAGACTCTCAAACAGTTTCTCTCAACATATTTAAAGATGTTTTTGACAGAAAAAAAAAGGATAAAGTTTTATGGAATAAATAGTTTGTGATCTCCATTTAGCTTTACCAAATGACATTTTCAGGGTTACTCTGTGGAATACATGCAGAGTGAATACATATATTCTATGTCAAAGTTGTTTTGTTTTAGGAGGCTATCTTATTTTCCTTTTCTTATGTAATTCTTTATTCTTTCTGGGGACTTTTTTTTCTGTAAAGAATATGTTTGGTTACAACTTAGAAGAGCACATATCTTTCTGATAATGACTCTAAGTGATAATAGATGAAATTGGTTAACAAGTTATTTATCATACTAGTGGGGAGAAATAGTTCTATATTACTTATAAGCTTGGTTGTGTATTGAATATGTGTGCATGTATCTTCACTTATACATTACTTACTAATATGCAACAATTTTTTTTAAGGGACCTGTATAAAACTTAAAAAGCTTTGAATTTTTTTTTTTTTTTAAGTCCCTGTTGACCGTTTCCTCTGTTCATGATTGTAACATAATTTTATGAGTCTCTGATCATGGTTTTAACATGATTGTAACATAATCTTATGAGTCTCTACTCATGATTGTAACATAGTTTTCTGAGTCTTGTACATCATGCATCATGTCTGATAAAACTTTTCTACCGTTCTATTACCATAGTAGTATAGTTTACTTACTCTCTTTAATTTATCCATGTCCATATTTTATCCTTTAAATAATAATAAATTAGAGGAAATTAAGAGTGATATATTTGAAAAGAAACAATTTTTTAAGTTGTACTAAATATTTTTCTTGGATTTGAAGTTTTATAATCCTTGAAATGTCTTTTTCCAGAATTTGATTTTACACTCAATTTTCATTTCAACTTCTACTAATTTTTATTTTAGTTAGAAATATGTGTCAATATTTAAATAATTATTTTTATTGAATTTTCTTACATTTTAAATTTAAGGATATTATTTATAATAGAAAAAAAAGATAATGTTATCAATTAAATTTTAAGATCAAGATAATGTTAGTACATGAATTTTGTGTTATATTTTATATACATAAAAGTTTAATTAAAAGTATGTTATTTTTGCAATAAAAGTTTAAGGGTTCCTTTACATGATACATATCTTGTGTTAGAATAATAATTAAAAAATTTAAGGGTTGTGGGTGTTAGAAGATGAAGGAGTGTGAGGTCATATGCTTTATTTATGGTTATTAACATCAGTGTCTACTTTCTATTCTAATATCCTATTCTTTTAAAAGTATATTTTCTGCATGAAAAAGAATCAACATGTCATTTTCCTTTATTTAGTGTTGGTGCTAATTCATTCCCAGACAACCAATAATCAAGTTTCTACAGCAAATGCAATGAATTATGCGTAGTTTTTTCATTTTTTTGGCTGAAACATTATCTACCTGCAAAGCAGTGCTATGCTAACTCCAATTTTAATTTCCTTAATTTTGATTAATATACTTATTTATTTTATATACAGTATTAGTAGCTAATATATTCATTTTGTTAATGAAAAACTAGAGACCAAAATCTATTTTTCCCTCTCTGTTACTTTCATCATAAACCAACCTGATATAATATATAGAATCCGATCCAAACTCCACCTAGAATAGAGGAGACACAAATCTGATACTCTGTATTTTTCTTTTATGTTTCATTAAATTTGGGACAATAATTTTATGTTTCTGAGCATGTAAACTAAAATATATTGTTACAGGATGCATAAACTTGAGCATTTCTTTTTCTCCTCATTGTTTCCATTGCTACAAGATTCTGACTATGCTTGTCCTTTAAGTTATCTGGTAGACATGATAGAAGATGATGAAAACTTTGGAGCATTCACTGAATCGTCCATCAGATATACTCAGGAGTAGTTTGATTTGATTTTGTCTTTCTTTCAGATAGTTTGTGGAGAAAACAACAGTGAAAAAAAAAAAACTTTCATTTTCTGTTTTCAATAGTTTCTCTAAAACCTTCTGGAAACAAAAAGTGAAGTTAAAATAAGGTGTATTTAAAGTAAAATAGTAAACAATTTTTTTTTTAGTTCCTTGGGTTGTGCTTCTTATAATTAATTGTATTGTAAAAATTTTGTCCTTATGACCATCAGCATTGAATGTGCAGGACACCTGACATGTCTGCTATGCATCATGATTCCTCTGCTGATCTCAATGTAGTTGGAAGCAAACTGCAGAACGTCTTCGAGGTATATAAATTCTCTATTTTGTGTGAATTAAGATTTTCCAACAAGCCTTTTACAGCTTGTGTACACTGTCACATAGAAAGCTTATTCCAAGATAGTGATGTCAAGGTTCTTTATGTTCTTATAAAAGCTATTATATACAAATACAATTCATGTATACGTATCTGATACAATGCTACATTGTTTTAAACATATTATATATTCAGTATATGTAAAGATACTCTCTATATGTACACTCAGTAAAAAGAATACCTATAAATATATATAAAAAAATTCATAAAATATCATAAATATATACACATATTTCTTAGATATTAATAAAATATACTAGTACAAATTACATCGTAACATTACCTTTTATTCATTAAAAGACAGTGAGCCTATGTTTTTATTATGCACATGCTTTTATGTTATACGTAGTTATGTTAGATTTTAAAAAAATACGTGGATATGTCACAGATAAATATTAGTATAATACATGAATCCAAGTCCAAATTTCAATATTTTATTTCTAAAAGACCTTCTGATTCAAGTTAAGGCTTCCTACTTTTAATCAACTTAAGTTTGTTTTCTGACTTTTAAATTAGATATCTGATACTTCATTGGAAGTACGGAAGGTGGTTGTACATATCTGCAATATTGTTGCTACCCGTGGTGCTCGTCTCTCTGCAGCTGGTATCTTAGGTATCTTGAAGAAATTAGGAAAAGACACTCTGAATGATGTCGAGGGTGAGAAAATTGTGATATCCATGGATGGTGGATTGTACGAGCACTACACTGAGTATAGCAAGTGCCTAGAGAATACCGTTAAAGAATTGGTTGGTGATGATGTCTCAGAAAGTATTATAATTGAGCATTCCAATGATGGTTCAGGAATTGGTGCAGCCCTTCTTGCAGCCTCTCACTCCCAGTACCTTGATGGTTAACAATAATGATCATTATCATGATATTGGGGTTTGTATCAATTAAATTTTGTGGTGGCCATGGTCCATTTATGACCACAGTAGTCTTGGGAGTTGGGAGGGTTGACTTGTACACACCCTTTAATTTACCCCAATCTTTGCCACATTTACTCCACACCATTTCTTTAAGTTCATGTATTTAATTCTTCCAGGAGGATTCTGCATTTTTCTCTTGCCTGGTTAACCTTAACATCAAGCTTGTTCTGCATTTTTTATCTATTTAATATTTACATAAACTGGTTCTATACTTTTCATAGAATAGATACTTTTATGCAAAAATTATTAGATTAGTGGTTGGTGATGAGACTGAAGGAGTTTTTGGATCAAGTGTACAAAAGGGGGACTAGGAATCAGCCATGTGACATGCTTGCATTTGGGGTAAATTTGATGGCCATTTGCAATTAGGCATCTCATTGGCCTCTCTATTCCTCCTTCTTTTGGCTTGATGATATATATATATATATATATATATATATATATATATATATATATATATATATATATATATATATATATATTAATTCTTTGATTAAGGTTAAAAAGTTAGAGTTTCTAGTTCTTCATAATTGGAATAAGTTCATAAAGTATAAATCTATCAAATGAATTTGAATTGTCTCTTTGTCTCCTTTGTTGTTAGGTCTTCAAAATATTCAATCGAAATTAAATTTAAAAGGTTATCACATTAATTTTACCTATATTAAATAATTTTAATTGTGAATCTAACCTTTTTAAATTTTTTTCTCATGAATTCACTTTATATTGAAAGAAATTGAATTTAGTTTATATATATATATATATATAATTTTTTGAATTAATTAATAGCTTTATTTTATAATTCATTCAACAATAGTATAAACCATTTTTTCTTAAATTATACGTGTGTTCGTTTTTTTCTTTTATTTTCGTTAATTGAATTAGTATATTGATTTTTTTTTATTTTGAAGAAAATATAAAAAAGTAATTCTCTTGATTGGAGCTGTGACAATGAAATTTTAAAGTTAACTTTTTTTTTATCGTAATTAAATAATATAATAGAAGAAAAATAATATTTTTTTCTCTAACAATAACAAAAATAAAATGAAACTAAGAATTTAATTATTTAGTTTTATTATTTTTAAATAGTTTTAGAAAATAATTTTGCAAAATATTTTGAAAAATCTTAGAAAAGATTGTTTTAGGATACTAATTTGATTTTTTTATAGAAAAAAGAATAACATTGATAATAAAAAAATAAAAAAATTAATAACTTATGATAGTAAAGATTAAGAAATAGGATAGTTATTAATAAAAATTTGAATAGTGTTAAAAACTGAAAACTAAAAAGAAATATTTTTATTTGATTCTTTAGATTTACAAAATAATTAGTTTTTGAAAATTATTTTAACAAAATAATTATAAAATAAGTTTTTTAATTTTTAAAAGCTAAACACTTAGAATTATTAGTAATAAAACAAACTCTAACTTTGTATAATTGTTCATTTCTCATTTGATAATGTAATTTCTTTTAACAAATTTATTTATATATTTTAAAATTCAAAACCATCATTTTATTTTGACATTTAAAGCATTGAATCCCTACCTCATTACATTTTTTACTCAACCCTCACCTAAAACTTCATTGTAAAATAAATTACATTTTCAATGCCATGGATTTCATGTTTAGAAAATAAATTGACCTATTCAAGTTATCAATTTTCATGTCCAGACAGAGAAAGTACTCTCATGCAAATTCAGAAAAACCACTGTGGCAAATTGACAATCTCATTAATCAATTCAATTGCTTGTGAGACATAAAACAAAGTGGCAAACTTAACTTTAATTAATTTTGATTAAGTCCTTAATACATACGTGTTTATGTCCGATTTGAAGTGTGGTCTATCCAACTTAACCGGCACTTAACCAAAACAGCTTATGGAATAATGAACATCATTGACAAAAGTGAATTTTTTTTGGCTGGGTTTATGCCAACAAAGAAGGAACTTGAGTGTATCAGTGCCCCTCTTTTGATTCTAACTTGAAGGTTTGACTAGAACCAAGAAAGAGATGAAAAAGTTATTGAGTAGAGTGCCATCAAGGCAAGGCAAGGCAAAGTCATTTGCTAGCTTACTGTGTCAAGGGCATGAGGAATATATTTATGAGGGGTCAGCGCTGCAAGGCTTGCATTGCTTTACTTCCTATGCTAAACAACCTAACTTTGTTGCTTCAGGTTGCGTGCGCGATGCTCTAATTTCACTCTTTGTTTTGGTAATGTTAGGCAAAAGGGAATCTCACTAGTTTGATCAATCAGTGCCACTTCTTCTGAAAATGACCTCCTTCTCCTTAAAAAGAGGAAAGAAACAGAACCCACCAAGCGTGTGAATAAAAGATATATAAAAAGCAAAGCTAGTAGTCAAGTCAACAATTATATGCCAATGCATACATATAGTTTCCTCTCACCCTTTTGCTTTGCCTTTGAATGTGTTCTCTTTTCTCTTGGTGGGGTGTCTGTTGTGCTGTGATGATATTTGTCTTGGATTTGGTCTATTAGTACGTGGCATAGTTATCATAGATTCTTGTGTCAGGTGCTTCTTCAGATATCAAAGGTTCAACTACTTGTATTCTTTCACTCCATAACCAGAAGCTTGTTTATCAAAAAAAAGAAAGGCAAACAAAGGAGCCGACACCATTGCAAGCATGATGTGGCAAAGAAGCCACAGGTCTTCGGAGGAGAGGAAACTGGAGCTTAGGCTTGGGCCACCTGGTGAAGAGTATCTCAATGAAAGCATCAAGAAATGCATCACAGAAAGAAACGAAACACCACTCACTCTTGGTTACTTCTCAACTCACAAAATTTCCACTTCTGACAAGCCAGGGCCAGGTGGGGCTATGCTGCCCACTGCATGGCCTTCCACATCCTACTACCAACACCAGGCTAAAGCCAAAGCTTCATCATTTCTTCAGCTCCAATCAAGGCCACAAAACATGTTCATGATGGGAAAGGAAGTGCCACAACTTTGTTGTGTAGAGAACAAGGCATTCTCACCCTCTTCTGCAAATACAACCGTGTCCAAAAGGTACTCCTACTTTTCTCTTTTGTAACAAAAGATTTTTAAACCATAATTGCGATCGCAGTGAGTCAGAAAACCTTAACGTTTTATCCAATATTACAGTTAAAGACCTTTTTTGAAACCTAACTTGCATACATGCAAAGAGTATATTCATTCTCAGATCACCTTTGATATTGTTGTAATCCATGCAAAGCTGTGTTTCTCAGTATTTTAGATTATAATTCTACGGATCACTTTTCACTGGATAATTTTTTATGAAGCTTTTCATTTCATTGTTAATTGCAACATGATACTTGCTTAACAACAGCATGTCATTTATTTTGTGGTTTTGTTATCTACTCTTCAAAAATTTGACATTGACGTGGCATATCCACATCTCTTCCTGCCTCTATTTTCTTCCTCCTCTTCACTCTTCTTCCACTGTCTTCTTTGGAACTCTTGGTTACATTAAAGTGTATTTTGGCTTGCTTGATGATTTTGAATAAAATATGAGAGATGCTAAATATGTGAAACTTAATGATTACTCAGTTGTACGCTTGTGAGTTGTGATGATACTCACATGTTTTGTCTTCTTCTGAGTGCAGTGCTTCTTATTTTCACTGTTCATTTTCATGCCTAACTTTTTTTATATGGACCCACCAAAAACAGAACTGCTTCAGGTCCAGTAGTGGGTTGGCCTCCAATTCGTTCCTTCAGGAAGAACATTTCAAGTGGAAGCCCTTCTAAGTTGCCTACTGGGTCCCAGCAACATCATGTTGTTCCAGACCAGGTTGCTAGCCAGAAACCTACTTACAACCGTGGCAAAGGCTTGTTTGTGAAGATCAATATGGATGGTGTTCCTATAGGAAGAAAACTGGACATCAATGCTTATGATAGCTATGAAAAACTTTCTTCAGCTGTTGATGAGCTCTTCAGAGGCCTCCTTGCAGGTATTATTATTCTCGGCCTTTTAGTTCTATAATTGTCAGTGCGGTCGATTCTATCATATTTGTTGTTGACACAATTGTTTGAATTCGGACATTTGTTACTTCGGGAAAGAAAGCAAGTCATTATCTTTGAATTTAAGGCAAAATGTGTGCTCTGTTGGATCAACTTTTCGATCTCAACTAATATTTTCACAAGCTTTCTGATTTGACTTTTCCACGAAACCCCATAAAGTTATAGAGAATCAAATTCCTATGTCAATCAAAATGATCTCACAAGATGCTAATCTAAACAAAGCCTAGAACTCGGCCTAAACAAAAGCACAAAATGTCAATCCTTTTGCCCCTTTGAATTGTTTTAAAGTAAAATTTGTAAGTGATCCTTTATACCAATTAAGTTTCATATTTTTTTCATTCGTTTGTGATGATGAAACTTATTGCAGAGATGAAGTTGTCTCATATTGCCTCGTCCCATTTCTGTTCTGGTCAAAGAGATTCCTGTGCTGGTGGAATTCAAAACAATGAAGAGGAAGAGAAAGAGAAAGCCAATACGGGTTTATTGGTTGGAAGTGGAGAATATACTCTTGTTTATGAGGATAATGAAGGAGACAGGATGCTTGTTGGAGATGTACCTTGGCAGTAAGCCCCTTATCAATGAGGATCTGATGCATTTTTTTCATATTCTATTCCATGACTATAAGCCAAGATATACCCAAACACGCACACTAACTACATTGCCATGCAATGTATGCAAACACTAGGCCGAAAATAACTCATGCAGATGGTTTTTCTCTCTAAGCTATTATTTAATTTTCATTTTGTGATTTAGTTATTTCTAGAAATCTATGATCATTTTGGAATCTATGACTCCATTATTATATTATTCCTTTCTAATGTGCTTGTTTGGCAGCATGTTTGTGTCAACAGTGAAGAGGCTAAGGGTGTTGAAGAGTTCTGATCTTCCTGGTTTTGCCCGTGAGTTGGAATCTTTAACTTGATTGAGAAGAATTGGTTCAATATCCCCTCCCCCATTTTTTTGGTTGTGATCAATGATTGCAGAAAGTTTTTTGTTTTCAGTTAGTAGCAAGCAAGACTAGCCACACTCTACTTGATCTGGCAACGAGGAATGATAAATGAAGCTGGTTGAGGTCTTCTTCTTCCATGCTGAAACTTGAAGACTTCAGTGTTTTTATTGGACATTTTGTTTCTTTTCATGTTGAAGATTAGGCAATGAACTCTTCAATTAATAAGAAATGTTTGTATGAACAAATGTATCTTTGTTTTAGTGAACTTTTTATTTGTTTATGCACTTTGAAACAGTGTAAGCATAATTATGATTTTGCCGTTAACTTAGCTCTTGTTTGAAAATGGATCACAGGCATAGCTTATTAACATCATGAACGTAGATAGATAGGTTTGGTAACACACTTTTATTTTTAATCAAAAGTGACTTTTTCTCAAAAGCACGTTTAACTACACGTTAAACTAAATATAGTTTCGCATTACGTCAAGTCTTACAACAAACAATTTTGTTGAGATAAATGTTTTAATTTAAGAGTCATTTAACTTTAAATTTAACGAGCACCGTTTAACATCACTCTGGTTAAAAAAATTGACTAAAAATTATTAAAAAACTAAATACAAAATCCTAAGTTATTCATTATGTTTAAATTAATTCCTATGATTATATTTTATGTTCTGATTCGTTAATAAAAGTAACTTTTTAACTTATAACAAATAACTATCAATGCAAATGTAAACTATAAGCAATTTTTTTTAAGAAATTAACAAAATGCAGTTTGTAGTTTACACTTCCCTCATATCATTTTAACTTATTCTTTAAGAATATGTTTGAGACTAAAGTTTTAGAGGAAACAAAGGTAAATTTTTTATTTACAATTAAAAAGGATTATATAATGTTTATAAAAAAAAAAAAACAAGTGCAAATTTTCTTTCCTTCTATCTTCTTTAAAACATACCTAAATCTTGTCCTTAGAGGTTTGAAAAATCCCAAGTACATGTTCATCTGATGGTAAAGCAGAAACCACGATAATATGGTCCCTTTGAACATTGATTCTTTTTTTTTTTGGTGATGTTTGTGACATTAATTATTTGTGGTGAATGAATGAACATGCTTAATGTTGTAGTGTGGACCATGAACTAAGGCTACTTCTATTTGTTTAGTTTGGAAAAGAGGCAACAATCACACATTTGACTTTCTTATTTCCCCTTTTAACGTACAATGAAAGGAACTACATTAATTTATTAGGGTAATGTAAGGTTTAAATTTCTAGGGTTAGTGTGTTTTTTAAATACCTAATTTATGTTCCCAACACATCACACAATCAAACAAATATCTCAACAAATCTTCATAGGCAAAAATAATCATTTATAGACAAAAAATATGAATGTCACATTGCTCTTTTTTATTAGATCTAAATTATAATAATTATTATTTATACATTAATTATTTTATGTGAAATATTTTACTATAGATTATTTCTCTAACTTCTTCGTACTTTCAGCATAGTCTCGTATCGAAAAATCTCGATTTTCTTACACATATATTAAGTAAAAACTTATCCTTTAATTTTCAGTTTAAAAAAATACATAATAATTTAAGGAAATTTTTTTATTTTGTCTTTTCAAAATCGTTTTTCTAACATTGGGTACCATAGCTTTCGTCTTGACGATATATTGCCAATACTTTGGGCCTCATGCATATTTATTGTGATCCACAGGCCCATTTAAATACAATTTTCAACCCTAAATTCTCACTAGAAAAGCCCACGATTTTTACAATAATATGAAAATGTGGTGATTAAAAAAATGTCCCAATCATAATTAAGATACCCTTAATTACTATTTATGAGCCAACCAAATCCCTGACTTGAGATACACCTTTTGCCATTAGAATCGTGTTTTCATTGTCTAATTATATTCAGTGGTGTAAAGTGTAAAAAAAGTGCTTTGATTAAATAATGCATTTTAATGAATTAAAACTAAAATTAGAACAAAAATTGATGCAAAGGAGTTAAAACATTTTTATTAGGCTATTGAAATTCAATTAATAAATCATAAAATTATTTTTATATATCTATAGATGGAGTTTCATATTATAGTTTTCGTAAAAACCATAAATTAGAGAAAAAGTTAATTTTATAGTTTATCATTGTAATAAAAAAGTGAAGAGCTTTTAAATAGGTTAGAAAAGGTAATAATTTATAAAAAAAAAAATTCTGGAGGGTTTCATATATTTTAGAAATCGAAATTAAAGATAATTAATATTTTTTTTTAATTTATCAAAATGTTTTTTAAAAGTAAAATTATAACATACTAAAATAAAAAATGGATAATATCTTAACTATTGAATATAATATTATTTAACAATTAAGATCAATAATAATTTATATAATTTTTTTAATTTATTATAGACTAATCTTTTAAAAATAAAAATAAAAATAATACATATTATATAATAGAGGAGATAGATTGATTGATAGATTAAAAAACCAACAATCAATCCAATTACTACGAAATTGATAAAGCAATTATTATATTCAACTTGACACAAAAAATGATACCTTTAATTTGGTGAATATTAATATGAAGCAAAGATGATGGGCATTTGCAGACAAGATCCAAGGGTTGTGGGGGGACCTTACTGCTGTTAAATAGTGGAATTGCAAGCTTTGATGAACCATATTATTCTGCACCACTTGCAAAACTTGAATGGTTTTTGCTTAATTTATGAATAAGATGAAAAGTAAACAATGAGTTGGTGTATCATGTATTGATTGATGATGGTTTTTTGGATACACATGTTCGGCCTTGAGGTTGTGCTTTGCGATCACATGCAACTGACGTAGCTTCTGGGCCCAACATGTTTTCCCCTAATCTTTTATTTCCTATTATGTTCCTTGGATTAGGTTGATTAGGTATTATGTTCCTATTAAGTTTCTCATCCTCCACCACCATGTTTTATGATTTCTCCAAGACCATGATTCCATTTCACGATGATATGCTGCACCATCTATTTCTCTGTCCCCTCCCCACTTTTCTTCACATCATAATTTTTCATTTTTTTATGTCTAATTTGTAACCTAAAGTTTGGGTTTTGAAAAGCAAAATTTGTTCATTATATTTTGTCCTAATTAAGATGCTTCATGAGATGTGTGTCCTATGTATGTTGAGTCATGTGTTCTTTTTTCTGTCAACTTTGTGACAACCTTGCTCCATTTGTGCTATCTTTAGTTCATACCCTCATTCTTTTTCCGACTCATTCATAAATCATTATTAATTCACAATTCAGGTTTAGTTCCGACAAAAACAATCTTCCAAACTTTTCATGTTAATCCATCCATGTATAAATACTTAAATTTTAAATGTATAATATTATATTTAAATAGTAAATTATTTTATTTTCTGTTCAATTTTTAAATTCAAATTACGCTATACATTTTATTTGACCTTTTGACGGAGGGTAAAATAATAATAAATAATATATTATTATTATTATTATTAGTAGAAGCAGTGAATGATAACATATCCATGCCTCTCTCTCTGTCGGTCTCATGAGTCAAACCCAACAATGTCAACGAATTCTTACCTTTTGACTCCGATGATTTGAGAACTCCTCCTCCGCGATGTTTTGTTTTGCGTGGCCCCACTTCCCAAACTGTCCTTTTCCTTTCTTCGTTGCCAGCTATTTCTTCTATTTTCTGCCTTCTCTTTTCCGTCACCCATATTTTTATTTCCCATACGACCCTTACACACCAAAATATCATTGTCTTTGTCAATTCATTTTATGAAACAATTTTTTTTTTCCTTGGGCCATGGGTTTCTAAGTGTCTACCAATGTTTTTCTTTAACAATTTCTTCAAAAGTTGCTTTTTTTAGCACTACCAAATAGTTATCGATCCAAGATTATTATGTCTATTTAAACAGTTAATTAAAGAATTGAATTTGTCTTCTGTTATTCAAAATGATAAATTATTTTATTTTGATGATATAGGAATTTAATATCTATGTATAAGTGTGAGAAATGTTAGGAATGTTTTTTTTTTTTTAAATTAGACTAAAGAGAGTGATAATAAAATAAAAAGAGTGAAAAATGTTTTAAACATATAGGACGAGTTGAAGAAAATAAAAATGTGATTAATCTCTTTTTGACAAATTTCAATTATCCTTATATATATATATATATATAATTCAAACATACAATATTATATATTAAGTAATATGTATTTAATCATATTTAATGTGTTTTGGACTATACGTAATCGATTAAGTAATTATGCAATTGATATGCAATATAATTAATAAATAATTATGTATGATTAAAAATTTATTATTATGTATTCAATCTTGCTCATATGGACGGACTAAGAGACATGTTGATACCAATAAGCGTTATAATTAAAAGACACTTTAGAATTATTTTTCTCATTGCACATGCATTAAAAATGAGATAAACAATAGTGGATCCCATAATTTAATTTCCTTTTTTTTTATGTAAATAAGTGGATTTAATTCATTGTGCCACTCTCAAATCACCTCTTCACCATCTATGGCAGATAGTAAATAAAGTAGAAACAGATAATTTTCCTCTTACAGACATACCAAATTAGGTAAACAGAGATATTAAAGTAGTTTATGAATATAATTAAAAAATTTATTAGTTAAAATAGATTGAGATAAGAGATGATGTTTACTTGGTTGTTTGCAATTGGGAAATCCATATAAAGGGTGGAAGTGTCATATTAGGAAACGTTTCTTGAAGACATTAGAGTCTGCCAGGTGAGGTGGGTGGTTCTGAAAGTTCCCTCTTTGTTTTGCGGGGTCGCTTTCCCTTTTACTGTGTTCTGTAAGTGGTTTACCAGTTACCACAAACAAACAATGCACCATTAGCCATTCCAATTCCAATCACATAAACACACATAGCAATATAACAATATACATTTCAAATATTAATGCTTTCTTTACACCCTCTTCATTCCTTTCTTCTTCTTCCTTTCGGCTTCAAACCTCCTTAACTATTACCATTACCATTTCTTTTACTTCCACTTTTTTTCTTTCTCACATTTTTCCTTCACTAATCTCTCTCAACTTCTATTCCGGAACTCTGGTTTTTTCCTATTTTTGTCTGTCATCTTTCATCGAATTGCTAAAGAAGAAAGGACCACACGCAAACTCTTTTAAGCTGGAGCATCAAAATCCCATCACTTTGCTTTCTAGTTTCTGTTCAATCTGGATTTTCGTTTCCTTTTTCTCGACTGAATTTGTACTTGGTTGTACTATAGTCCTTCAGACTTAGATCGAGTTGCTTCCTTTCTCTGGATCAAGCTCGCTATTTGGTTCATTTTCATTGCCCTTTTGCTCTATATACCCGTCACTTAAATATTACCAACTACTGATGATTCTGTTGCGAAAACCCCATTGGGGGTTGCTTCTCTTTCTGCTCCATCTTCACTGCAGCACCTGTTACTCCACAGAACCTATGAACTGTACGGACACGAGCCGCGTTTGCACTTCTTTTATGGCCTTCAAGCCTGAGCCAAACCAAACGCCTGCTCTGATTCAGAGCATGTTTGATGTGTTGCCTGGCGACATCACAGTTGAAGGCAACGGGTGGGGTTACATGTTCATAAGGAAGAATTGTTCTTGCGCTGCAGGTATCAAGAAATACGTGTCAAACACCACTTTCACTGTGAAATCTAATGAGGGGTTGGTGTATGACGTGGTGATGGATGCCTATGATGGCCTTGCTTTCCTTCCCAACACCACCAGGAGGGCCAGGAATGGTGCTGTTGTGTCTCTGAGGTTGTTTTGTGGCTGCTCCAGTGGGTTGTGGAACTATATGGTCAGCTACGTGATGAGAGATGGGGATAGTGTCGAATCCTTGGCAAGCAGGTTTGGGGTTAGCATGGATAGCATTGAGAGTGTGAATGGCATTGGTAATCCGGATAATGTCACTGTTGGTTCACTTTATTATATACCACTTGATTCTGGTTAGTCTTTCCTTGCAATCTTCATCAACCTTTTCTTGGAGTATGAACATGTTTTCTATTAGAAGAATAAAAATGAAATTGAGTTCTCATAAGTCAAAATTAGTTGATGTACAAATTAAAAAAAAAATTTAATACAAGAAAACTTCTATAAGTTAATACGTAAGCTAATTTTAGCTTATGGAGAAGCTAATTTTAATTCTTCTTATTATCTTTTTCTCTTTGAAGGAACTCGTGGAAAAACTCTTCCAATCAGACCCTATACATCTATGTGTGTTCTTGTTTTGTGTATGTGTTTATATGTTTGAGAGGCTTTGTTTTGGAGGATGTTTTAGACTTTGAGTGTTATATTGATTTGTGCATCTGCGAACTGTTCATTTTGAAAGTCTGGATAGGATGTCAGAGTTGGGGCTGTTGAGGGGGCTTATGTAGTTGGGATTTGGGACAAGCGATGGGATATGACAGTGGTTTTTGAGAATTGTAATTTTAAGGTGTTCTTACGTCACTTAAATAGAATGATATACTTTATCAAGATAAAATCGAATTTCAGGATAGGTTATAATTTATAAAGCAGCTGGCAAATGAAAGGTGGTTTATACATTTAATAAGCTGATTAGGAAGTGAAAGTGATTTCATTCATGTAGTTGGGAATTGGTAAAATTCTTGGTTTGTCATGAGTGGTCAGCTGGTGGCATTTAATGTGTTAGAAAAATCATGCGTGTGCGGACATACCTACTGGTACTATTACAAATTGCTTGAAATTTGGAATAGTAATTTTTATTTTTCATGCATTGATTGCTTTGACTGTTTGACAAGGAACTAGATTGTAGGGGTTGCGGAGTACATTTAAAGAGATTTATCTTTGCATCTTCTCTTTCTCCCTGAAGACAGTTGAATTCTGTTTCTAAACCAGAAAGATTTAATATTAAATCAAGTTGTAAAGTGTTGCGTTATCATTTTAGCAGATCGTTGTTAAACAGTGGTTTATGGTAGTTTCTCCATGCAGAATGAAAGTTGAAGAATATTATATTTTCTATTTTGATGATGTTAATCTATCTGAGATCTGGAGCTTAAGTCAAGAAATGTTATCTCTGGTTATATCTTAGTTTCCTTACATTTAGGACAAATATGATCGATTTCTTTGAGGATGGTGGATGTTGCATATTTTGTAATGCAGATTAATTGGGAGAATATGCACTGGATGCCTTTACTTTTATTGAATTGGCCAAGCTGAAATTGTTCATTCAAATATTTGCCTATATTCACTGCTTCAATGGATTTGTCTATATTCCTTTACCATTATTTAGTGATGAACCAATATTTCAACTGTATTTGTGAAATGCTATAATATTAGGCACCCTTGATTCCTGATCATTTCAATGGATTGCAGTTCCTGGTGATCCTTATCCACTGATTAATGCTGCTCCACCAGTTCCTGTTCCTTCGCCATCCTTTGATAATTTTTCAGGTATTGATCAACATATGTTGTAAAAAGGAAAATAACTTTTCTTTGAGCTTGAAGTTTGTCTGTCATGTCCCTACAATAGAATATGCACTTGATTTATTTTATTGATTCAATCTTTTGGATGCAGCTGATGGAGTCAACCATAAGGCTCATGTACCCTACGGATGGATCATTGGGGGCCTAGGAGTTGGTCTTCTTCTAATAATATCAACTGTAATTCTCTGTGTTTGTCTGAGATCATCAAATTGTTTTGTTGATGATGCCAGAACTCACGAGAAAGATGCTGAGCGCAAGATTTCACATAAATTCCATATTCTAAGGAACCCAAGTTTTTTCTGTGGTTCTGGAAGGTACATATGTGGCAAGCATGTTGAACAGCAGAAGCAAACAGATGCTGAATCCAGTAATCACACGATTACCATTCCAAAAGCCTCATGTAACTACCTATATACTGGATTCTCAACTGTATATTGTACCTATGATTTCAGTGTGAAGTAATAATGTTTTGCATGTCTTATTCTATCTTCTCCAATACAATACCAAAAATATTTTGTCAACTTCTTTCTTCAAGGGGGAATTGGGAAAGGGTTTGCCTAGTGCTGGGTTTTTATCAGATTATGGTGAATATTGATGTATATTGGATTAGATGATTGCTAGTCATATGAATATAGTTGAGCATGCATAAAACATATGGTCCTGCACTTTTTAAAACATATTATATCAGAAAACTTTGCTTATATACCCTGCATTCATTTTCATTCTTGCTGCCAAGTTGATTTTATATTACAAAGTAATTTTCTGACCTTATGATGTAAAGTCAAAGTTAAGATGCATTATTAACAACTTATAAGTTATGGATAACTCTCCCTTGGTTTTAAATTTTGAATATTATTCATTAATATGTTATTAGGGTGACATGCCATATACATGCAATTCTTTGAACTTAGATATATAACTGTTGGTTCTACTGTACATCTGTGTACTAACAATATTAATGATTTGTCCTTTCAAATTGAAATTGACGCATAATATTTATTGCAGCTCTTGGGCCTGACGTATTTGAAATGGATAAGCCTGTTGTTTTTACATATGAAGAGATTTTCTCCACATCTGATGGTTTCTCTGATTCAAATCTACTTGGGCATGGAACTTATGGATCTGTTTATTATAGCCTCCTTCGTGATCAGGTTTTTGGCCATATACTTGAAGAGTTGAAGTTGGTAATATATACAGTGCGTATTTTTTCTCAGACCAATGTTACTTGAATCCTTGCAGGAAGTTGCTATTAAAAGAATGACTGCTACTAAAACAAAAGAATTTATGTCAGAGATGAAAGTTTTGTGTAAGGTTCATCATGCTAATCTGGTAATTTCCTTTTAGTGATAATCAAAATAAATTATATGCTTTGACTTTGGAATTATTTGTTTGGCACATTTCAAAAGCCTGAGTTGTACTTTTGATTGATGTTGTCAAGGTAGAATTAATTGGCTATGCAGCTAGTCACGAGGAGCTTTTCCTAGTTTATGAATATGCTCAGAAGGGTTCACTTAGAAGCCATTTGCATGATCCTCAAAGTAAGGGTAAGATTATGCACCTATGCTTTTATGTTGAATGTTAACCACCACTATTTGTATGGACCTCAACTTTCCCATTGTGTAGAGATTGTATCAGGGTTTGCCCAACCCTCAGATATATGATCCACATTTAAAGAATTGAGACAGATAATATTACAAGTTATTTTATGGGAGAGGCTATCAAATATGTGGGGGGTGGGCGAATATCTTCATATATATTATTGTATATTATAGATATTTTAATCTTTCTATTTATTTTGTTTTTATTTATTTTTATTGTTACATCGAAATAAATAAATATTTACTAATCTTATGAATATTGAACTTGGTAAAAAAAGGGGATTTAAAAACTGAAAACTAAGATTCTGAAAGAAGATTCTTTGAATACTAAAATTACGTATTGAATTTGGATTCTTGTATCCATAATTCAAAAAGTTTTTTTTACTATTGCCGAAGAAGTGAAAGAAAAGATAGGGTATAGCTATGACAGTTATTGTATGGGGTCTACCCAATGCTAAATGCAAAGGCGTATAATAGATAGATATGAACATTATGAGCTGTCCCGTAATAAACCCAGTTGTTGCTGATATTTTCTTCTCGGTTCCTTCTTCCACAAGTCTAGCTCGAAGAAGGAAGAGATAAGAGGGCCCTATGGAAAATGTGGTCAGAAATCCATAATAGAGTCCGACTACAACTATCGAATTAATTATCTTCATGCATAAGAATACTAGATTCTCCAGTATAAAAGATTGAAAAATCATCTCAAGAGAGTTTCTAATATCCCTCCACTGATGCCACCAAACCAAGCAAGCCTTCATGATACGGAAGTACGGAGATGAACTATAAGTTCTAATACTTTATCATATTTTATCTTAAAACCAATTAGCATTGAGCAAAGTTTTTAACATATATATAAGTCGCACTTCACGAATTGAGACAACAATGTGATACTTCCCAAAACCCTCTCCACATATGCCTGTTGAAAACAAACGAATCTATAAGAACGGGTGATTTACCATGGTGAGCTATATGTTCTAATGCTATGTCATATTTCATATTAAAACTAATTGGCATCGTAGCAAAGTCACGAGTTTGATTGTTAATGGATCAATTTTTGAAGGAGGAATTGTTACAGGTTGAATCCATTGTTCCATGGTAGAGGCCAAGTGGGCCAAATTGTGGTACTTGGAAATTTCATTTAATATCAATTAGTTTTAAGATGAAATCTGATATGATGTCAAAATCTATAGCTTATTTTGTAATTCTCTATTTTGGTAGGTTCATTTGATTTGGTATACATATGTGGAAGGGGTGTCGGGAAGTCCCACCTTAATTTTTGGGGTGTTGTTTATATATTTGTTAGACAACATTTTTTAGTGTCAATTAGTTTTAAAATGAAATCTAACTGATCATTCATGTGGTAGCTAGCTGCTGTTTATCTATGATGCATTTTTTTGTGCGTTGAAATACATGAATGAAACTAACAATGTATTGTGATTCTATTTCCTTTTATTCTATTAGGAAAATATTCTTGTACATATTGTATCGGATTTGGTTAAGATTTATATAATTATCAAATATTCTAGTTTTTTATTATCCTGTCAACTGTATATATTCGAATATTATAAATAAGATGGACATTTTCTAATTTGTATTAAATAATAAATATATATTTTGGTTCATATTTTTCAAGTCAATACTGAAAAAATTCTTATGTATCCAAAGGCGAGGCTTGAATTGGTGTTAAGATTGCTAAATTTCCATCTCTAATTGTATGAACAAGTTTAAGCTATGCATTTATGGTTTATTTCCATTTTTTGTCTTGCTTATAGGTCATTCTCCACTTTCTTGGATCATGAGGGTGCAGATTGCGCTTGATGCTGCTCGGGGTCTTGAATACATACACGAGCACACAAAAACTCATTATGTACACCGTGATATCAAGACCAGTAACATATTACTTGATGCTTCCTTTAGAGCAAAGGTAATAAACAAATATATACTCTACTACATTATTCTATTTCAAAATGTTTCACATTTCTTGGTTGTCCTTTGTCTTAGATCTCTTTTTTCTTCTCTAGATTTCAGATTTTGGGTTAGCAAAACTTGTTGGGAAAGCAAATGAGGGAGAAATTTCAACTACCAAAGTTGTTGGTACATACGGATATCTTGCCCCAGAGTAAGTAATGGCACTAACAACTTTTTTTAACTTATTCCTCCTGCTTAAAATAATATTTTTTGTTTCTTATATTTTACAGATATTTAAGTGAGGGTCTTGCGACAACTAAAAGCGATGTCTATGCATTTGGTGTTGTCCTTTTTGAGATTATATCAGGAAAGGAGGCCATCATTCGATCAGAAGGCACGACGACAAAAAATTCTGAAAGACGTTCACTGGCATCTATAGTAAGTTCTGCTTACAAGAAATTGTTTTGAATAACACAGTTCTACAGAATATACTTCTGCCTTGCTTTACGGAAAATATTTTAAGGTGTTAGTAGGACTTGATGTAACTAGATTGTATTCCCCAGCACCTTGACCCTAAAAATAAATAAACGAAGTCCTGAACTTTGTCTGTAAGATAGTTTTGTCGCACAATATATGCAGAGATTTGTGTTGATTTACATGAGCCATGTGGCAATAGATGAATATGGGGGCTCCAAGGATAAAAATGAAGTGTATTGACATTGATAACTCTTGCAACTGTGAAACCAGTATGATACTTGGTAATGATTGCATGCGTATAGTAGAGGTTTGGCCTAGGTAGAAGATATACAAGATCATGGCAAATGAAACAACTTAACTATCATGGTTGTCCCTAACAGGAGGTGGTGCATGAGAACTTTGTTGAATTATATGTCAATGAAATATAATCATGTACCACTTCCCTTGCCTTCATCTAGAGTACTAGGGTGGGGATTAGTCAAGGAATATGCTAGACGGAAATTCCAGAGGAAGATTCACCTTGTGAAAATTATCTTTTTCCTGATCTGCCCTTTGGGCATATTGTGATTGATGGAGAGTGCCACAAATTTCTGGAAAGTCATCCGCACCAAATTTATATCATTAAAATCCTTCCAAAGGGATTCTTATAAACCTTGCATAAAGTATGACGAGAATTTATTGAATACTTTCTTGGTTCTCAGAACCTGGCTACCGTATGTGATTATCGTAGCAATACCACTTGTTGGTTATGCATGTTCTAAAACCTCTTGATTTCTTCTTATTAGCAGTCCTTGTGTTTTACCATTACAACTGTTTTATGGGATATAGCCTTGATGTTTGTTAAATGGCAGATGCTGGGAGTTCTTCGGAATTCACCTGATTCCATGAGCATGTCAAGCTTGAGAGATTATATTGATCCAAATATGATGGATTTGTATCCCCATGATTGTGTATTCAAGGTTAGTTTCTCCTTTTCATATACTTTTTTCTCATCCAGCTTGGTTTTGGATATCTTGAATCTATTAACCAGGAAAATTAAAGATTTAGCAGTTCAAACCTCAAAGCATAATGAAAATAAATATTTACATAATACATGAATTAAGGAATCCTTGCAACTGCGTAATCTCATTATGGTATTATTAGTCTGAAAAATATAATTGGACTCCATTTTTTTTTTAAAGGAATAACTTTGCATGAAGTTTTACTATTGTACTCATTTATTGTTTTGGTGTGTTAGATGGCCACGCTGGCAAAGCAATGTGTGGATGAGGACCCCATCTTACGACCTGATATGAGACAAGTTGTGATTTCCCTCTCACAGATTCTCCTTTCTTCTGTTGAGTGGGAAGCAACTCTAGCTGGGAATAGCCAGGTTTTCAGTGGCCTTGTTCAGGGAAGATAGTTTACACAGCCGGATTGATTATTTTTTCTCTGTATCCAGCTCTATACCTTTTTGGTTGGTTGATGATAGTGATGGATCCGTAGGAACTGGGACATGTGGGTCAATATCTACTTTGGGCCATTTATTTTGCTTAGTGTCTTATGAGCCATACCTTGATTTTGTTTAGCTGCATTCCTATATGTAGAAAATTTTGGATGTATTTTACAGTGTGATAATGAAGCTAAGGAAGAATCTCGATAATTTGTTGCTCTGTGATTTGTATTGATATAAGTTGTAATTCGATAGTAATCTATGTATGTTTCTATTCTTTGATTACTTGCATTTCTTCTGTTCTTGTAACATTTTCCTTGGATTCATAACTTCCTTGTTTGTATGTATGAATGTGTAGACCAAGTTTACAATATGGGGAAGAAAAAAAGATAACAATATGCTTTTTTATTTTTAATACATTTTATATTATTTATTGATTAAAATTTATTCAAAAGTATAAAAATCATTAATAAGTAGTATTATTTACATTTCATAAGGGTAGAAACTGTATCATCCACGCCTGAATCCACTGCTTCTAAACTTCAAAACAAAGAAGAAAATTATTTGAATTATTGTTTGTTAACGAACGTTTGAATATTTTAAAACTCGTGAATAATTTTTAAATAGTAAAATAGTGGATAATTAATTGTTTTTATCATATATATTTATTTTATAGTGGTAAATGTAGTAGAGAAAAAAAGAAAAAAAAACTACAAATGTAAATAAGTCAATAAATCCTTAATTTGATAATAGTGTAAAAATTATTTCATATAGATGGTTTATACTTTTTTAAAATTAAAAGTAGTGTAATAATACTGCAAAGGTTAGAGTCATAATACAACCAAATTTATGGACCGAAAAGTCCAATACAAAAACAAGCGGACAACGAAACGACGTAGTTTGGTGCAACCCCGCGTTGGCGAAAAATTCAAATAAGCAGAGATGGAGAGAGATTGTATGGAATAGAACGAGGAAGAAGAAGAAACCAAGAACATGAGTTTTGGTAGTGAGGTTGAAGACAACGATCTTCAGCGTCTTCGCTCCGATATTTCTTCTCTTCTCCATCAGGTGCGTCATACATTTTTGCCTTTCCTTTCTCTCGATTCAACCCTTTCACAGATACCAAATGCTTTCATTCTTCAATCTGTTCATATACCCGATAACAAATCCAACCATTCATTATTTATTAACCTAATCCCCGTTTTACGAAACATGTAATTATCAAAAACCATACTTTAATTATTGGATTTACAGATTGATGGGCTTGTCGTGCAAGCCATTGAAGTGAATAATCATAAGAAGAAGAATAGCATAAACAAAGGGGGCAGAACGGAAATTGAATCTTTCTCCCGGATTCTCTCTCACATGCTTTCTTCTTTGAAGGTAAAACCCTAACCAACCCTATTCCTCACTTTTTTATTTTAATTTTGTTGTCTAATTTGCTTTGCTCTAATTGTAGCCGTGGGTCCCGAAATTTCAAAAGTTACTTCACCCTGAAGAGACAGATTCATACGATGATGAAAGCAGAGAGTGTGAGAGTCCTGAAGAGACAACCTTGAGTTTGGTGTCTCCTTCACCTCTTGTGTCATGGCGTGCCAACTGCACTGTGGAGAGAGGTAGACAAATGTTCATGCTTACACCTCTTCCACTTTCATCCAAACATCACCAACAATCTAAACATCACTTCCCTCCCACCGCATCAGCCACTACTTTCATGGACAATGGAATAGTCAAACCAACCCCAATTAAGCTCCAACTGCCAAACAACCAAGACAACGGATCCATGCTTCTTATGATGACCCCTTGCCTGAAAATGTCCCCTCCCAAATCCTGCCTTCTGCTCGAACCTATATCCGAAATCAACCCTTTAGGTGATCACAAGTTTCGCAAGGCCACTCCCTATCCTGTTGGAATTCGTTGCAGCGATCCAGAATCTTCTGGTCGTGATGATTCTTCGCCGGCTTTGTCCATGATGTATCCGGAGCTCCTTGGGATATGCCGCGATTCTAAGGCTGAAGTTGGGAAGAAAACTGTGGAAGCATCGCCGGATTGGTTCACCTCTCCTCCTAAAACTTGTGTTTTGCTGGAGCCACCTGATGATAAGATTGATGATCGCTTGTGTGTACACACAACTGGCAACATTCTTGATCAACAAGTCGGCACTTTTAAAGATAGTGATGGCGCTGATGTTCCCAAAGATCATAATCAAGCCAAAAAATCTCGTAACCAAGGTTATGCTGATTTCAATTGCTCATATTTTGTTTGGTTCAATTTATCAATAAGAATATATAGGAGGAGAAAATAAAAAGTAAAACGAAAGAATGCGTCTCAAACTTTGAAAAAGTGAAGCAGAACGGTTTTTATAAAATGTGAATTGTATCAGTTGATTTTAACTTATGGCTTATGCTCCTATAAATGTTTATTGAAAATTTTACTCAAATATGGCTTTAATCTACTACTGCACATGTTGGTGAACACTTGACCTGGGTTTCATGCATGAATTTTCTCTTCTGTGCAGATCATTTTGTTGGGAGCTTAACACACGTAGAGAGCACTCCCATGCCCGAAAGCTCATTTCAAACTGGAAAACGACCTGGTGAAAATACTTTGAAGAGGGAGTTATGGACTAAGTTTGAGGCAGCATCCACTTGGGGGTGTCAAAAAAGTGCCCACAAAGGGTTTCTTGACCTACTGGAAGAAGCTTCCTGTGACGAATAGATTAAAGATATGAAGGTGTCAAGATATAAGCAACAATAAAATCTTATTAGAAAATTTTGACTTGTAAATGCTCCTTTATGTTGTAAGATTTGTAGCAAAGAATTCATTCATGTTACTTCTTTGTATCATTATTCTTGGCCGTTTTATTGAGTATTAATATCATATTTAATATAAATTACAAATTAATTTAAGGAAAAATTATTTCATTTATTTTATTTTTAACTTTTTTCCACAAGTTTTTGTCAATTAATATATTCAAACTATCCCTACATCATTCACAATAATATACTTTGGCTATGATATACTTTTGAATTTTGACCACTTTCTTGACAATTAATTTGTGCAATCGTTGGAATAAAATAATTTCTTTCATAATAAGGGATTTCCAAAGCGTTCTTTCACTTCGAGAAAGGATTATATCATAACGGTTTAATAATGGATAATAATTTTTTATAAACATAATTTCTCTATTATTATATTAAGTAAAAAAAGTCTAATTTAATCTGAGTGAGATTTAAACTCCAATTATATCTTACAATTTAATTATATTTTTAGTTGAATTTCGTCCCCTCTGCCTTCCAAAGCATATGCATTTAAAAAAAATCAACCAATCGTTTTTAATTTAAAACATTAATTTAAAAATCTGTCTAATTTAGACTGCCCGTGATTAAGCACACATTGTATATCTCAGAAAAATTTATCCGAGTGGAGTGGTTTTGAAAACTTTATTAAAGTTATGGGGCAAATTTTATAATTGGCCAAATGATGTAATGATACTTATATAAACACAATTGTTTATTTTAAACAATATTAAGAAAAAAATAAACTTTAAAAGAGAAAAATCAATAGAGAAAAATATTTGAAATATTAATAGAGTTAAATATAAGATGTACAAAACTAATTAAACATTCATTTTAACAATCTTATTATTAAAGTGATTTTTTCTTATATTTATAAAATGCTTAAACCTGTGTAATACAAAATTAATGTATGGCATGATTCATGACTTACATTGTTCCCAACACTGGAACGCCTTGGAATGAAGAAAAATATTATTTATTTTTTCTTTTAATTGATGCCCTTTTTATGCGACTCTAGAAAGGTCTGATTATTATCTTTCTTTTTTATTGAATTTTATCCTTCAAAAATTATTCTGACCCATTTTGACCCTCTTTAAAATTTTGGGAATTGCGACTTCTATCAGTTGTTCATTAATTGACTAACAATGTTAACGTAAACGATGTCGTGTAATTTATATTAACACTTCGTTTATTTTGAGGTGGAAATGGATTTAAGGTGATTTGCACCGAAAGACATTGATTTGGAGGGACGAATTAGGAAGTTATCATACAGTTTATGTTTTTGGTCACCCATAAATTTAAAACCTGCATAATTGAAAACAAATTATGTATTATGTAAAACTAATGTTGTATATCACCTAATAGATTATGACTTCAGTATCTTACAGAAAATATACATTTTGAACATATTTTTCTTTATTTTGTACGTTGCATAAACATAGCTCATTTTGCACATTGTGTATTAAAATTTATAAAAAAACTAGTACTAATCCTTTTCACTTTTTTCGAAATCAATCGTATATATTTATAAATTTTATACTATATTTATTCTATTTCTACCAATCTAAACAAAATCATTTTTCCAAAAACACTAATAAGGGACCATGAATTGCTCAGGGACTCCAGATTCTCCAAAACATACGTGTCCATGTATTATTTCTTCCCATGTGTTTTTATTGTTTGACATGATAACGATCCGATATGTCTCTGCTCGATCAATGTGATCCCAAAATTTGGCGTTTATTAATTAGGGTTTCTCAATAATTCATCTTCCGAAATATGAGGGGGTTTATTAATTCTATAGACTATATTATCAATCATTTTAACATCAAGGGTTTTATGAACAATATAGAAACAATCTTTCAATCCAGGGAAATTTAATTAGGGTTTTCTTCAAGTTTTGAAAAGTCGAGTGCTATGCCTATGAATCACTCATTTTCTTTTGTAATTGTAAATGTAAATTTGCCCCTACTCTTTTCACCAATATTGGACTTGTGTGCATATTTAGTTTTACTTGGATGTAATGTTTTACTGCTATTTCTAGATCGATTTTGATGCTTTGGTGTCCAATCTATATTCCAATTTATTTTGTTGTAGTTAAAAGCATCCTCAATGCAACCTTGTGTTTTATTTTGCATTGTCAGTTAAGGTTCACAATTTCTGAATTTCCTATCTGAATTTGCAGATTCTAAGTGTTAGTTCAAATTGATTATCATGTTCTCAACTCCACGTGTAATACCCAAGCCACTTAATAACTATTCATTTGTGTTTGAAATAATGAATAGCTGTGGCTAAAGTTATTGAAGTTAATTCCCATTCGACAATTATAGGAGGCTATTTTTTCTTGCCAAGGAAACCAGCCTTTCAACTCATGGCACGATTATGGCTCAGACATCTTGAAAGGTACCAGTAATTTTACTGGCAATCTTTCCGCGAACTCGGTCATAGTTTTGACCTCACTCAAATTTCATTATTTCAAAAACAAAATATCACAACATCAATCATGTGAACAAAAGCAAACATGTCTGAATCAGAATGTCACAGCATTAAGGGCAAGGAAAACCTAATGTGGAAATTTCATTGGCAAGCAGGTCACCGAAACATTGAGCAATGACAGGATTCTATTTGGTCTGACATGCTTTTTACAATTAATTATTTTTCAATCTTTTCTAATATAATGGTGTTGAAAAGAAAATCTATATTAATTTAACAGCTGCCTACACTCTGAATGTATGTGCATTAAGTTAAAAATGGCCATACCAAAATATGGGATTTGTCGTTGGCATTCTTCATTGAAGCACAAAGGCGCCACTAAAAATTCAGCTCTCTGCAGCCAATCATCCAACTACCATTTCGTTGGACCAATTTGCTTTAAGGCGGCAGCATTTGCATCAAATAATCACTCAGACATATAATCTTCTGCTCCACTTGACTGATAGTTGTCCTGGTGCGGAGCACCTCTATGATGGTGTTCGAGACCATCATCCATTTCTAGACGAGCTCTCTTTGACGAATTGCCCCTTGAACTTGTATAGACCTTGAAAGCATGACAATATATAGGAGATTATATTATATGCATTCAAACATATTGACAAACTTCAAAGATAAATTCAGTGCCATACCCCAGTATCCTTTCGCTCAATTGCAGCAACACTAGACCTCCGTCTTACAGTCACTCTTGAAGGTACTGGACATTGCTCAACCTCTTCACCCGATCTTCCCTCTTTGGCCCTCTTTTTTCTTAAAACAAGTTTGGTTGGAAGAGGCTGCATGTCAAATTTACTATAAAATTAAAACATTGACATGGTGTAACCAAGAAACTATGTTCCAATCCTGAAGTTAAAAAGACAGATATTGGCCCCAGTAAATACCAAGTAACGAGCTTCCGAGTCATCAAATGCAACCAAGAACGTTGTAGGATCATCTGCATCATCGCCCCGAACCTATTACAATGTTACAAATTTGCCAGAATAGTGTTAAAAGGGGGAATTTATTTTAATATTAAGTTTAACGACTTTTAGTTATGGAAATTTAAACCCAAATCCTGATGTAATTTTATGGTAACATTCTTTGAATGATTAAAACTTTTCTACATACATCCCAATGATATTCGCGAATCCAAGAGTAAGAGACATCTTCATTTTCATCATATATATCTTTTGACAGCTGCCATCACAAGTTTAGACAGATCCAAAAGTTAATATAGAATTATGACAATAACCAATGTTTATAAACTGAAATCCATAATAAATAAATTTAGTGCATACCTCTCCAGGTGCTGGGGCCATATATGCCAAAAACTTCTCAGGATTAGCAGGATCTAAACTCGTTGCAACATAACTTTTCATAACTGCCTGTAAGCCACAAATGATATGAATCAGTCAAACAACATTCAGCAATTGGCACAATTCGTCAACAAAGGTAAATTGAAACTTATCAAAACTAGATAGCTCCACCACGTATTGAATCAAAACTACAAGAAAAAAAAGGTAATGATGAAAAGTTGCAAACAATTTATGACAGCGTTTTCCTTTTTATATCATCGTAAGTATTTAACCAGATCCTGGCTTTTAACCTTTGTAAAACAGGGAATATGTGAGTAATGGATTACTACTACATTCATCCTTGCAACACTTACCTTTGATTCAAAGGCATCACGAACAGATTTGTCCATCTTAGCATACACTTCTGAATCGGCTGTGGGAGCATTATCAAATGCAGCAACAACAAACTGATCCTCATACCTGGAAAGGGATCAACAGATAGAAGGTAGCTTTAGTTATTATAAAATATGAATTATACACTTTGTATTATCGATTATCAAAAGATTAGGCTTTAACATCATAAACATCAAAGGCCGATCAATAAAACACAACTGGTGTGTAATAATTTTACATATTATATATGGTGCCATACCTATCAAAATCGGGAAGTAATGGCATGACCTCAACAGGATACAAATCTTTGTTGGTTGCATGAACAGGATCAGACTTAGCTGCTTCAAACGATGCTTCAATTTCCCTGATTTGTCTTTCCCTAAAATAGAGATTTCAATTTTAGTTAGAAGATACTAATTACTTTCACATAGTAATTCGTATGCCTACAATTGACTTCGTAATGGTGGAATAAACATACCTACTGTTGAGATTGTCCAAAATGCTGCGGCCTCCCTTCATCTCTCTCAGCTCCTTAGCTTGTTTTTCAGTTAAAGACTACAGACAACATGTTCATTAGTTTTTGCTTGTGGTGAGAGTGTAATGCATCAGCATGTCAACATATAAATAAGCCTAATACCTGTTTTGTTGACTCCATGCTTAGAGGAGATATATATTGTGTTTTGACAAGCCATGCTACACCTTTATCAGTAGGCCTCTCTTTTCTTTTTATGCCATCTTTTTTAATAGGAGCAGCAGCTTCATCATCTCGCAACAATTCTTCATCTTCTGGAGCAAGAGGTGGTCTGACACTGGGAGGACTGTATAAAAAGGATCATAAGACCTTCTCAGTCCGCATAATTCATTCAAGTATTCAAATTTACAAAAGGAACCAAGGACAGTACTTGTAAACACTGAGATCAAGCAGGTCCAGAGGTATCCCCAGATCTGGCTCCACAAAAAGCTTGGGTTTGTACATTTTCTCCAGGGATGTGATTGTGTACTTTGCATATCTGCCAACAATCATAAAATCACCATTAGATTGCATACTGATTTTTATCCGTATATTTCTTAGCTATAGATATAAAGTGACAATAAGATTACATACTGATCTTTATCTTTCTTGAAAGCCATAAGCTTAGGTTGAGCACTTGGATCTGGAAGTTCATTTCTAAATCTTAAATGAGAATACACATAGAAAAGAGTGTCAGTGTTAGAAATAAACACTACATGGCATAATCCAAAAAATACACATAATGTTGCCCACCTTATGGATCAATACCAACACCAATAAAATGCAAATTGAATTGAAAAAACACTCGCAAACATAAAATGACATCAACATACTCACTTGAGCTTACACAAAAATGTTGTCGGCTTCTTCAACCTATTTTCAACCCTCTCGGCACTCAACAAGGGAGTGGATCTCCTTTCTCCCATTCGTGACCCTGCAATCAAACTGTGCCCCTTCCCAGACGACAACATGTGAGTCTTCTGCAGAACAGTGTTCTGGGACTCCTTGAGCTGCTGCCTATGCTTTTCTTCCTGTCTCTGCTTCTCAAACTCCCTCTTCTTCCTCAACCTCTTTTCTTCCTCGGTCTCAGTTCTGGCAGGAGGCCCATTCACCTTCTTTGCTGGCACGGGAGGCTGGTGCTTGTGCTGCTTGTGAGCAATGCCATGATTGGAAGGCTCATATTCGCGGCGGCCGGATGTGGAAGGATCCTTGAAGCGCCGGTCTTCATTGTTTTGAGTTGCCGGGGGAGGAGGAGGGGGCGAAGCAGGGGGAGGAGGTGGTGGAGGCGACAACGGCGGAGGTGGCGGAGGTGGCTGGTTGTTATACTGGTTATTAGAGGGATAGTACATGGGAGGAGGTGGAGGTGGTGGAGGAGGCTGGTATGAAGCCTCCGGTGGAGGTGGTGGCGGCTGATATGGATAGTGAGGGTGATGGGGATTTGAAGGTGCATATGGAACATGATGTTGATTTTGATGCTGGTGTTGTTGTTGCTGATGATGATAATTGGAATTTGGAGGGACTTGGGGGAATGAGGAATTAGAGGGATCTCCATAAGCACCCCAATTTTGATTATTATTATTATTAGTATACTGGTGATTCCCACTTGGAATAGGGTTTTGAATTTGACTCGATTGCGGTGGGAAGGGCCTGTATGAGGCCATTCCTTTCAAAAGCTAGGGTTTCGTTTCTTGAACTTCAACAACGCTGAACCCTAGAACGAACAACGAGCAACAATAACAACAGCAATATTAATAATAATCAAAACCAAGTGGGTTCCCATTATTAAGAATAATTGTCCCATACCTCAAAGTCGCAGAAAAAGAAATCGCAGCACAACCCGATGTAGAAGCAGGTGGTGGTGGCAGTGATACGATGCAGAGCAACACAGAGCAAAGCAAATTGACACACTCAAATTTTGCTTATGAATAGAGCTTCTGCTACAATTTTCTTCTCCCTTTTTCTCTTTCAGTAATCATTGTCGGATGGAGGGTTTCGTTTTGAATTGGGGGAAAAATCGAATAAGTGGTAATTGTAAACAATATCCTAAACATAGTTAATAAATGAAAGGAAATATTGTCAATTTATTTCTTAATTTCATAGATTAGATTGAATTTAACTTTTAAAAAGTTTAATTTAATTTTTCTGTACAAAACTAAATTTAATCTTTTATATTTTAAAACAAGTCAACAAATTCTTCTCCATTTAAATATACTGAAAATTAAAAATCTTTAAAAAAATCTTATAATATAGTCATGATTAATTATTACAATAATGAACAAATAAAACGTTATTAATAAAATTCATTATAATAATAATAATAATTATTATTATAATTATAATAAAAAAAATTGTACACGTAGAAAGAATTTTTAGAATAATAAAAAGTGATTGCTTTTATTGGCGTTAGAGTAAAAAAGAATTTGTAAGGACCAAAATAAAAAAATGGTATATTTTTTTTGAAAATAAAATTTAAATAAATTATAACTTCCAAAAGTAAATTAAGATTTTTTTATTTTAATCTTCATAAATCAAATATTTTTTAATTTTTATCAATATATTAATCATTTTAATTTATATATATATACATTTATTTATTTATTTATTTACATGATTAACTTTAAAAAAAGTACAGCCATAGATTAAAAAACAAGAATTTTAAAAATGAAAAAAAAATAAAATAAAAACGAAATGTTTAATTAATTCTATATTTTTTTCAATTATAGTTTTTAAATTAAAAAGTTATGCTCAATTTTTTAAAATATATTTTTTCTTTGAATAATTTGTTCTGTCGTGACTAATATATAAAAACTTATAATTATGTACTCTTAAATATTTACGACGATTTTAAATAAAGTAAGAGATTCAGAAAATAATCCACCCATATTTAATAACTTTATTAACTTTTATAAAAAATATTTAAAAATTCATATATACAACATTAAAAGTTGAGATAATAATGTGGTAACACAACAACTTTCTTTCTTTAGAGGTTAGAAAATAAGATTGTAAACATTTGAGGAATTTATCTTTTATTTATAATTATATAATTTATTTTATAATAGGATAAAAATAAAAATATTAAATTTTTAAAAAAGAATTATTATAATTTATATATTTAAAAAACAATAAAATAAAATTTAAAAATAAAATAATATTAAATAAATAATTATAAATAAATATAATATGTCTTTATTTTTCTTAGTTGAATATGATGACAATAAGAATTAAAGTGTTCAACATAATTATTTTAATTAAATACATTAATTACAAATATTCATTAAAAAATAAAATAACTAATTACTTTATAAAAGTTCTCTTATTTATTAATAAATATTAATTAGTAGACTTTAATTTTATTTTAATAAAAAGTTGAATTGAATATATTAATAATAAATATTATTGTAATTAATTAATAATATTTATAATTATATATAAAAATATTTATTTTGTAACTTTTTTTTAGTTATCAAAGAAAGAAAAAGAAAAATATTATAATTTAAAAAAAATCAGTTATTATAATTGATATAGTTAAAAATAATAAAAATAAATATATTTAAAGAGTATAAAAATTTTAAAAAATTAATTATATAAAAATTTATACTTTTACTAATAAAAATCTATAATTGTAATTAGATAATTCCTTTTACAACAATTATTTTGATGGAAAAAAAATAAAAAAATAAAAATTTTAAGTAAAATAAAATATTATTATTTATATATTTAAAAATAATATAAATACAAGAAAAAAGATATATTTAAACCATATAAAAAATAAAATAATATTTAAAAAAAGTTAATTATATAAAAAAGTCCACGCTAAAGATATAAACAGGGTGCTTTTAAATTGATAGTATGTTTTTAACATTATATTATTTTATTTTTACAAAAGAAGTTAATCAGCTCAATTTTTTCACAATATCACAATTGAAATTGATGTTTTTATAATTTGTATTAATATAATTGTTAAACTATTAAAAATTATAAAAACACTTTGATTTTTATAATAAATAGATTTAAAAAAATACTAATCAACATTAAAAATAAAATAAAATAAAAGTGTAGTGTAATGTAAGTGATTAACAGTAGCAAAAGGTTAGTGTACGGAAAAGTGGGACCCATCATTTAGCATCGCAGTGAAGTGATGTTATTGATTGGAACATTACCATACAACTTTGAAATGACTTTATATACATAGACGCATTTTCAGCCAAATCCATTGAATCCTTTCACTCTTTTTAAACAATTTTATATATTATCTATAACAATCTATGATAAAATATATTAAATAACTATATTATTTTTTAAACTTTTGAAAAAAAATACTATATTTTCTATAAAAAATTTACTTACATGAGTTGAATTTAAGAGTCCACAATTCAATTCTAAACATAAATAATAAAACAAATTTTAACTTTTAGAATTAATAACTATCATTTATTAAAGTTGTATGTAATAAAAGATAATAATTTTTGACATTTTTAATAGAGTTTTTCAATATTTATTGTTAACTACAATTAATTTAGTAAAAAATATAAAATATTAACTAAAATAATTACATTATTTTATGCAATTAGAGGAGAAATGTTTATGCAATGATAATTTAGAAAATATTAAATTGCTAAATAAACAATATGAAGTAATAGAAGGCAAGAGGATTAAAGCTAAAAAAAGTAAAATAAAAAAATTGTTTGTTTATTATTTTTAAAATTAGTTTTCAGTTTTTATATAATAAATCATATGATAACTTACAATAATACTTTGAATGAATAGGATCTAACTTAAATACGATTTTCACTTGTGAAATTATTTATAAATATTTACAGGCAAAATATTAGAAAAATAAAATAAAATAAAATTCTCTGTAATGTAATTAAACTAATTAGTATAACCTAAAACTTGAATCTTTAAACAAGCTAGAAAACCTAGTTAAACTCCAGACAAACTAATAAATACTCGTGTCATCATCATGTGGCACCACGTCAATGCAAAGTGCTGAAAAATGGAATTGAAAAAAGTGGATTATGGATTAGATGTGAAAGAAGAAAGATTAATTACAATCTATTCTCTTTCCCTTTCCCTTTCTAATATCAGACACAAACAACATTAGCATATACCATGTTCTCTCGACTTACTCATGTTTCCACCAATTTTATTTTTTCCTTTACATAGTTTATTCGTAGTAATAAAATCTATTATTTTTATGCACCAAGATTCTAGATAATTTAGTAATGCATAAAGAAAGATAATCACAATGTGTCTCTGTTGAGTTTTGACAAAGCCTAAAAGCCTAGTCTTAAACCAATAATATAAATAAATTACACTTTGAAACATGTCAATTCAGAACATATTATTTACACAAGGCCATAGGTGCATTGTAGGGTTACATTTCATGTATATAATATAAATAGTATAAAGTTGTAACATCTGAACCAAAATTGATATTTTGAAACAAAATATCTCAAAAGGGTGAACATCACTTTTTCTGTGGTGAATATATATTTTTTCTATGCTACAAAATTCACCAGCTGCTACATTTGCCTTATTTTGCATATTTCAGTAGGTCTTTATTTGGAGCGACATGCTGTTTCCTGGGGTCCTGCTTGCCTTGCCAACTGCACCAAAGAAGGAGCATTGGTTTCACAACACATTGCCAAACACAATAATTGTACAACACAATTCCACTTTTCTACAATCTGGTCACCTGAAAATAAGCTTCAAGTTTCTTTCTAAGTGCAGCATATTCTCTCTTCAATTGTTGGAAGCTCCTCATGCATCTGCTTTTTCAAGCAAAAACAGTACCATCATTGTCTAGGAAAATTTACAATTGCATTAGTGAAACATAGTTTGTTTTTGTTTTTTTAGTTTCATGTTTTAAGTCTTCAGTTCTGTGCGCAGGCTAGGCAGGGTGTGTGAAAGATCAGAGAAAGATATATTACCCTTCTGCACTTCCTGCCCTGCAATATTCCCTGAACAGATTGCACTCTGCTTTCACCTTTTTGGCTCCTATGCTGCAATCCATTATAAAAGAAACAAAAGAAAGAATTGAAATAATTAAGATTCTTTGTTGTGATAAAGCCAACACAGTATGTTCTTGATGATACTTTCAAATGACATTTCACTAAACTTATTATTGTTGTTGTTATTTTCTTTTGGACTGTTTTATATTTACCTTGAGCTGCTTCCTTTGAACTGATGCATAAGAGTGTCTAGCTTGTTAAAATCCAGAGGGTTCCTCTCTTTGCTACAAACACAAAAATGAACATATCCATTAATCCATTTGTTTTCAAGAAAAAGGAAAAGGTGAAGATAATACTAAGAATGGTGAAATTAATTAGCTTACAGAGCCTGCTCTATGCTTGTGATTAGCCGTGATGAATCACGGTAGTGAAGCGTGACAATTTCCTCAACAAAGTTGGGATTTGCATCATCCTGCAATTCCTCCAGTTGGATAAATTGTTCATCCAATAACCCCTGCAGAGAGCCAACGTTAAAAAGTCCATCAGCAAAACACCAGTCAAAGTTTGATTTGCAACATTTTTTGTATGTTGCAAATTGGAAGAAAATAAAGAGATGATGTATCATATAGAAAGTGGAAGGCTAGGATGAGGGAAGAACCTGATCAAAGAGCGACTGTTTCATTGCAGCAACCTGCCTGCGGGATTGGTTTCTGTCCATTTGAAGAGAATGTGAAGAGAGAAGAAGTGAAGGAGAAGAGGAAGAGTGAGAGAAGGTTATAGTGGTTGAAAGGGGTGGTAGGGAGGGAATGCATGATATGAAGGTGGGGAGAGGAAGGGTTTTATAGGAGAGAAAAGATGTCATGTGTCTAGGATCTATGAAGTGAGAAGCACAAGACAAAAAGGTTACACCTTTTGTTTTTGATCATTGAAGGGTGGGGCTGGTGGGAAATTGGAATGTTGCATTGCATGCATTCTCATTCTCCATCAGACATTTGAGAGTGAAATGGTCACTAGGGAGAAGAATAATGGTATTTGCACATTTGAATGATATTATATCACCACCACTACTACTCATATTTTGTTCTTCCTTCACATACATGAATGGATATACACAAATTGATGGATTAAGTACTTTCACTTTATAGAAAGCAAGTTTTTAATTATATATGTAAAAAATATGAGCTTTAAAAAAAAGTTTTGTAATTATACATTGAAAATGAGTTTAATAACAGACACAAACCAAATTAGCATGTACCATGTTCTCTGAACTAACTCATGTTTCAATGATTTTTTTTTCTTACAAACAACTATAAAAAACACTCTTATGAAGCAATATAAATTTAATTTAATTTTTAAATTAAAAATAGTATAAGAATCAAAATTATCAAACATATTATTCGTTCATTAGATTTAATCTGTAAATTTCCATACTATAGTTTAAATATACTAAGATTTCCATTTCAGTTCATGTCTGATAATTTGTGGAGGAAAGGAAAGATTGAGAAAATATTGGGTATCGCATGAGACAAAGAATTTATCCTAAATAAGCCCAGTGTTTATGATTGAAAAAAAAAAATTTGCATTTGTTAATTGTTGTTATAGAACCATCACCATGCTTTCACAACAGTTACTACATATTAATTAAATAAGATTTCTAGAAGGAATAACTGCGAGAAAGAAAAGTGAAGCAAATCCTTGATTCTATGAAAAGACATTGCTAATATTTAAACCTGGTTCTTGTCTGACAGTGACATATTATCCCATTCTTGAACAAAATTATGTATTTCAAATCAGATGTGATATAATTATAGTAACGAGAGTATACATGTATAGATGTGATCAAGTGTGATAAAAGCATTATTCATCTTAGTATGAAAATAATTTCATAAAACAGTTTTTTTTATCTTACACCATTTGCATATCGTTACATGAAAAATGCATATCAGTGTTGATTTTCTGCTATGCTAATAATGAGAAATCAACACTAATTGTTATTTTAGTATACTGTTTGTGACAGACAGAAAGATCCAGAATTTGTGGGTTAAGAAGTCTTTAGCAACTATATATTTTTTTACTTCATTTCTTCAAATTCACTTTTAACCAAAATCATTTTTGTCAACATGAAGATGATCCAACATAGATTTTGAAAATTCTTATACTTTCAAATGCTCAAAAGAAACCACAAAGACCCTTGTTTGGAAAAGCATAAATGATGACACTCGTATCTACCTTTATATTCGTATATACAATAATTTGTATATTAGTGTGGAAGGAAAAGTTGAAGGGACCTCTTCAGTATGAAAAAGGTCAACTTATTTCACTCTACACAGGATTTTTATAGGACACGTGCCCCATTGTTTATTGTTTCAAGTGGAATATTGAAACACGTTGCACTTTAACCATGTTGAATGTGATGGCAGCAGTGAAAAGTAACCCCAAATTAACAGTGTTAAATTCAACTATTTATTTTTTGTTGCTTCTGTGCTTCCGTAATCCTTCTTTTCTTGCCTAGATAGGGCATCTTTTTGTAGGATGTAATCATCATGGAAAATTTCCACATAAAGGTAGAAGCAAACCTCAAGGGCTACATATTACACCTCTTACTCTCTTCTTCAATGTTTTGTTGTGTCCATGCATGTAAAATTAGCATAACTTGGACAGAACAAAACCAAGTTACTGTGGAAAGGCATGGTGCAGAGAGAATAATGAAGAGGGGAATCAGCAAGTGACCAAAAGAGGGAAACAAATTAAGAGGGAAAAATTCCCAATGATTGACATGAGAATTTTGCCATGCACCTTAGTGGTCCATCATGTCCTTCTCTACAATTTCAGGAAGGGAAACCTTTAAAAGGAGAAATAAGTGTTGGAGAAGAGATACTGTCTCTATTCTTTCTTTATTCCTCCGCCACACTGAAATGAAAGGACTAATTCAACCCTCTTCCCCTTGCTGCTCCTTTTCTCCAATAGCATATTGTTTGTTTCTCTTGCATGTGTGTGGTCACATCTGTTTTTTTGTAATGAGTTAAAAAGCTTAATGTTTTGAGTGGGAGGAAAGGGATCAGAATCTGGTTTCTCAGTCATTTTCAAGTTTGGCAGATTGTGGCTTATTTTTTTTCCTTTCTCTCATTACTATCTCCTATCTTGATAAGGATCCCACCGTGGACAATGATCATTCCTACCTATACTTTGCATCAGCAATCTAACAGCAACTACCCGTAAATATCTTTTTTGGTTAGCCAATTGTAGAAATACGTGTCTGAACTATTTAAAGGCCATCATATGAGTGGGGTAGGAGAGAAAAAATACAGCATATGCTGATGTAAATGTTTGTGCTACGACCGAGCAGAATCACTATTGCCAACACAACCTAAAGAATTGAGAAAATATCACAAGCAATGTCATTTCTTACATGTCCTTTAAATCTGCAAATTCATTTTAAAATGAAGTAAACAAAATAGAAAGTAAAGGCGCCAAAATAAAAGAATCTTTAGCTAATAACTGAGCAAGCATGTGAAGTTAACATGCATGTCCATCTTTATACAAAAAGCATTGATTGCATATACTACTTGCTTCAAACTAAATTGCTGACAAACTATTAGATAGCATGCTTATAGTTCTAATCAATCTCTAAGTAACACAAATTCATGTTTTTCAATTTAGGAAAAACTGATTAATAGCATAAATATATGTGATATATGAAGGTTAACAAAAATTATAATTACCGCTCTGAAGAGGAGAATATTCTGTCACAAAAGGGAGATGGAGGCATTGTATTCTACCACAGATGAGTGCCACGTCAAAGAATTAGCTTCTGTTGCCACGTTGAAGCATCAACAGGTGAAGGACCTGAAAAAAGGCAATACCTATTCTTTCCTTTCCTCATCAAGAATGTTGTGACACGTCTTTGGTATGGAGAGAGGTTAGCTGAAGTTGCTTTCTAAGTGAGTGTATTGTATTCTCCTCTGGCAGCATAAATTCTGCTCATCTTCTTCACAACAGAATCCATTGCTAGAAAGACACATCGTTGAAAGCAGCTAGCATGCCCACTAAAGACAACTTTTGATCTGTTCTCCAAAAATTTTATCCAACAAAAGATAAGATGAACAAGACATGATCCTCATAGTAAACATGAAAAAGGAGGGACCAACACAACATCACATGCCAACAAAGGACGATAGATAACTGGCCAAATCAGTGAAAAGAAACACTGCCTCAAGCCATCAGGTACACTTACTATCACTCACAGATGCAGTTGTCAGCATGTCCAATAGACACGAGAGATGTCAGTACAATCATTGTTTCATATGCTACTATGTTGTCATAAAGTTCTTATTCTTGGCCTCAACAATGCAACAACAATGCTAGGCAAAATTCGAGATTCAGAAAACCAGAATGAAGCACCCTTCACCTAATCAAGCTTTCAAAACAAGGCTCAATAATTGATTGTACGTTATACATATTCCTCTAAACTAATTATAATCTGTCAGATACCACATCACACCAAGCCTAAAAGATTGAAGAAATTGACAGAACATCACGTGACAAATGGTTGCTTAAGATCTTTTGGAGCTTGTTTAAGACTAGCTTAATCATATTTGTTATTTAGATATATGTCATATTTAAGCTTTAAACCATTTAGTATTAAATGTAGAATCTCAATAATTGAGATAAAATTACCTCATACCGATATAATATATTTTAAATGAAAAGAGATAATTAGTGTTAGAAATTTTGAAAGAGAATTTATCCATGGAATCTCTTTCTCATATGACAATGTTACCTTCTAATGTAATCGTGGATCTTTTAACTCAAGTTCCAATATTTAATGTAATTGAATGTCTTTTAATTCAAATATATTCATTAAACAAAATAATCTTACGTCAATTCATCAACACATGTTGAAGAAACCGCTAGCATATATGTGGAATAGAGAATATAATCGAAATGAAAACTAGGTAGGGACAAGTCTACTGGAAAAGTTTTAGTTTTAAATGTGTTGTCATGTCCAAAAGTTCTTCATATTCCTTTCTTTGTCTCTAGCAAGTAAAATCCATAATTTTTTAGAGTGAAAATCTATAATTTAAATTTATTAATTTTATTATTTATCCTTCCATATACTAAATTTGAAACTTCACTCCTATAAAGACTTATCTCAATATTTTTTCTTTCTTTCAATGTACTAGTTTTTTAAAATATTTTTCTTCAAGGAATATTGTTTAAATTTTATTAATTTTATTTTAATGTTAATATCAAAGTATTTTATGCCCATAAATTTGATGTTCATAAATTTATATTTTAACACGCCATGTTAAATGAAGAAGAGTTTGGAAGACTATGAATGTGTAAGGTTTTACATTGTAAACTAATAAAGATATATTTCTGATATGATTTTTAATGTAGTTATTATAAAATTTAACAATTTTAAATTTTTTATTCTTATTAAATGTTAATATTAATAAAATTTGTGTTCATAAATATAGATTTAATACACCATGTTGAATGAAAGGTTTGGATGGTTACGTAAATGTATAAATTACATTGAACTCATAATAAACCAAATTGAATAAAATAAAGTATAATTTAAACTATTTATTAAAATTTCAGGTAAACATTTTTTTTTCATCAAGTTTTATTTTATAATTTTCTTATCGTGGATTATTTTCATTCGTTTAATTTTGTATCATGAGATTGCATGGATACAAGTTTCTTCAACGCTCTATTGCTGATGCTTTCTTCTGGAGCATGTACAGAATCTTGATTATTTAATTTTTAAATGAATAAATGAAAGGAAAAGAGGCATGCAAAATGGTATATCACAATCTAAATTATTGTTATTTAAGCTTGTTCATGCTTACAAATGCTTCATTTTCTACTTTAAATGATTCTCACAAAACTTATACCCAAATACAATATATTTCAAGCTATAAACTTAAGTCCATCTACCTATATTATAACAACAACAACACCCTAAACTCTATTTTACCAAATACAATAACATAAAAGAGATAAAGAAAACATTTTATTGTGACTTCACCGGTAGATTCTATAGTCTGGTGTATACATAGAGCTCTCAGCAAACTTCACCAAATCTTTTGGTTGTGGAAGGTGAGTGGCCAAGCCTGATAAAAAGTGTGAACTCAATTTTATTACTGTTCTAAGTTTATTTACACGAAACATAAACTGTGCATGTTCTAAATTTTTCCTTCTTCATGCATTGGAATTTGCAAAAACACTTTGAGAACTTTAATCCAAACATAGCCAAAGTTTTCAGATATTGAGGAAAAACCAAGGCTTACCAAGCTCATAGGCCTTTGCAGCCACGTTGGCTGCTATGTGTGCTGAAATCTTTCTGATGTTGCGGAATGGAGGGTATATGAGCCCCTTGTCATAGTCCTCCTGAGTCACCTGTGAAGCCAAAGCTTCAGCTGTTTCAAGAAATAGGATTTGACATTTAAATTAGAAACAGCCAAGCTTCACATTTTAAGTAAATGTTTGAATTTGTAGTGCACTTACAAGCTGCCAGAAGCAGGTCATCATGCACGCGAATGGTTCCAGACATTATTAAACCAAGACCAAATCCAGGAAAAACGTATGCATTATTGGACTGATTAACAAAGAACATAGTCATATTAAAATTCATTTTATATGATATGACAAACTTTTAACATTTCTAAGAACTCCTATAAGACCTGGCCAGGCACAAACACTTTTCCATCATATTCAACTGGGCTAAAAGGGCTCCCACTAGCATAAATGGCACGTCCCTGATAAGAAAAATTATGGCAGTTATTAATCATCCATTCCAACCAAATAATACCAATCTAATTATGTAAGTAGTTAGATATTATTGTAATTATTATAATAAGAAGAATAGCTTTGCCTTCATATTACCTTGCTCCAAGTGTAAGCTTCTTCAGCAGTGCATTCTGATTGTGATGTCGGGTTAGAAAGGGAAAGAATAATAGGTTTCTACAAGCATCACAAATGGTGGATAGATTAGTTTCTATGTACATCAAAATGCATAGTAGGTTGGATTACCATATTACCTCATTATGGGAAGCCATAGCTTCAATGACTTCCTTAGTAAAAGTTCTCCCTTGTCCTGATGTTCCAATTAACACCGTTGGCTTAATTTTCTGAAAAGAAAACATTGAAATGTAAGAAATTTGAAACTACTGTTCTCTCTGGGTTGTAGAGAAAGAGAGATGGACCATACATTAACAGCATCTACAAGTTCCTTAACAGGTTCATGTTCATGAGCCCAGGGCCTCTTAAATTGTTGAAGCGATTCTTTACGGGAACTCTCAATCAAACCCTGCAAAAGAAGGAATAAAAGATAAATACAATGGTAAACAAACAATTTCTTTCTACTGGAAAGAACTAAATCGGATTTTGTACAACCTTTGAGTCCACCAACCAAATGTGCTTGCGCACTTCTTCCAGTGGAACATTTGACTGCCAAGACATTGGTCAGTTTCTCAAAAAGTCTAAATCGTTTATATAATGCTCACATGAAAAAACCTAACCCGTTTTGAAGTTTCAAGTGCTATGATTTCTGCTATTCCAGTGCCAGCCTGCAACCACAAACCATGCAATGCAAGTTAACAGTTCGAAGTGATCTGATTATGAAACAATGAATGGTAATAACTTGCCTCTCCAGCACCAAGGAATAAGAACCTGTGATCAATCAAGTTTCCCCCAACCAATTTCAGAGCTGCAACCAGTCCTGCAAGAACCACGGATGCTGTACCCTGCACAAAGTCGATAGACTGTATGAGATAATTATTGATTAGCAAAGTATCCAAATTTATAATTAAGACAGGAATTTCTTACTTGAATATCATCATTAAAGACAAGATGTGTTGACCTATATTTTTCAAGTAGATCAAAAGCATTGTGGTTTGCAAAGTCTTCAAACTAAATTATGGCAAAACAGAAGCAGAAAACAGGAATAGTTAAAATTAGCAACTGTTTCACTTCACGTCCAATATAGCAAGAACTGATGTCTTTGCATACTGCTTAGTACCTGAACAAGGATTTTTTCCCCATAATTCTGCTTGACTGCTGTCATAAATTCATGCAAAAGTTCAGCATATTCCTGGAAACCGAAAAGGTAGAACAAAATTTAATATTATGGTACATTAGACAACACAATGCCTGAAGTAAAAAATGAGGCCAAGTAAATAAGACAGATTATGAACCAACCTGCCCAGTTGCTCGTTTTTGCTTGAGCCCTATATATAATTCGTCATTCAACAACTTCTCATTGTTTGTACCCACATCAATGGTAATAGGCAAGCACTGAAACCATTTGATAATATAATAATACAATTATAACAAGATCTGAAAGCCCAAAAACTTTCTATGAACAAATGCAGAGACCATAAGAGCCACTTTTCATAATCTTCCAAAATTGAATGTTACCCGTCAAGCAAACTTTGAAATAGAAGACTGTAACACAAGAGTATAAAAATATAAATCGCTACAAGTATAACAAATTTTCTGCAGAAAAGTCATAACAATCATGGCAAATTTTAAAGCTGCTCAATTTTTTAAATCAAGATTATTTTTTCTGAGGGGTAAGGACCTAAGGGCTCAAGTTATGAAATTCAACATCAAAGACAGGAATCTCCCAAACAACTTCTCTTTCTTTTTGTTTTACTTTTCTTTCATTCTTTTAACTTATTCCAGGGTGGGATTCTGTATGTGGATATGTTGAGGGCTAAAATCTGCAACTCAAATTTCAGTTCCATCTTAAAAACAAAGCAACACATCACAAGAAGTTTGTGACAGGTATAGTAAACTGAAAATACTTACAGCACGAGGATGAACTCCGCCAAGTGCTGAATATAAAGAAAGTTTTCCTACCGGTATTCCCATTCCCTGCTAATACAACATTAGTTACTAAAAGAGAGATTACAGTATTAGACCATACACACTAACATTATAAATTTCACAGATGAACAAGTATAATAAAATTACTTGACAGCCAAGATCCCCAAGACCCAGAATTCTCTCTCCATCAGTTACAACAATGACTTGAATGTTCTTCTCAGGCCAATTCCTTAGTACTTCAAGAATCCTCCCTCTTTAAACCCCATCCAATAGAAAATGGAATGATTACTTTTAGAAAATCAATAGACCTAGTACATTCAACTGAGAATTGTAGGAGGATGAAGGTGCAACTGAACTCAAACTTACTTCTCCTTCAAACTTATATAAAGTCCCTGAGGCTGCATGAAGATACTTCCATATTTCTGGCAAGCTTCACCAACTGTTGGAGTATAGACAACTGGTAGTAACTCCTCCACATAATCAACTAGAAGCTTGTAAAACAACCTTTCATTTCTCTCCTGCAACCCAGGAAATTACAAATGGAAAGATTAGAATCCAATCCCAAAATTTTAAAATCAATTGCAAATAGAGTTCTCCAAAGACATGGTTTCATGGTAAGGATGAGATCCCAAGTTCAAAACAAAATCACGACAACAAGTACACCAGACAAGAGCACACCTATGGAAACATAAGAGTTTTCTACGAAAAAGTTCGGAACTAATTATTTAATGCTTATCTTGTGCACTTGTAATTTCATCATACTAAACTCTGCAAATATTTCAGTTCTATACTATTAAGTAAAAGGGTCTTCCGCCAACTACTAATGCCTAATGATGTGTTTGGAGAAATGGGGTTGCTGTGAAACGCCAATCCAACCTGAGAGATGAGGATTGGCATACCATGTGCATTGTGCTGTGAGAATGTACCAAAACAAACACATGCTAAGGAGTGCAATAAGGGCATTTGTTAAAAAACATTCAATCCACTATATCAAATGCTTCCAGTAACTTACAAAAGCTGGTATTGATTTTTTTTTATAAATTTTTATTTTCCAATGATTTTGTTTCATTAGCAAGTACCGAAACTGCCAAAGTAAAATTCAAATGGAGAAACAGACTAAAAACAATTTTTTTTGTAAAAAAAATCTCATAGAAAGTAAGTCAAGGAATTGTTCCCTAGGCCACCTGAAGATCCATCATTGCCATGTACTTGTGCAATGGAACTTGATACTGACGTACGTGTTGGATCATTTTCTTCACCTGAACAAAAGAAGCATTGATAACTATCAGTGAATGTAGAGTAGCCTCAAGGTCACAACATTTTATTTATTAAGATTAAACTACTCACTTGGTCACTATAGTTTTCTTCGTTTTAAATTTTAGTTCCTATGCAAGAACATGATAAGCTTTTAATCCATGCAAACTTCTTTTGTAGCAATTTATTACCTACGGAAATTTTCTGCAGCGGTATTATACCACCAGAAAGTTTTTCTCTGTTTTTATAATGTATAAGTAAAGACTAAAACTTAGGGTTTTCCTAAAGGAGCTAAAACTTTAAATAAAAAAAATTGAAGATAGAAGATCAATAATTAAACCTCATATTGAAAAAAGATTATCAGGAAAGAGTGTTATGATGACATGATTAACCTGAGTTTCTTGAGAAATAACTGTTGGGGGAAGAAGGCCACGCAAGTAGTGGGCGTCCCTCTCTTTTTCAGTGAAGGCGAGTCCTTTGTTGAAGTGTGGATCTCTCAACAAAGTATACCCACTAAAAGCCAATCAACAGTGCCCCATTCATTCACTCTTTCATTTATTCAACCACAAATACGAATAACAAAAATGGAAGATCATCAAACAAGTCTTATTCATTTACTCACCTAGAAACAGAGATACACCACGGAGTCACACCCTGATCCTCGGGGTGTGGGTGTGGGTTGACGTCGACGTCGACCACCGTGGAACCCCCATTTATCTCTTTCTCCATCACAAAGCCGCCGTGAGGTTTGCCGCTGCTTGAAGATGGAGCACAACACGTCACTCTCGATGAAGCAGAACGCCTCCTCTGTGAAGCAGAGAAGTTACTGCACGAAGACCACCCACCAATGCCCGACTTGCACTGTGCGTAAAGTTCACACGTAAACGGGAAAAAGAAAAGATTCCATGAATTCCCGAGGACACAAATCAAACTAACTTGACAAAATTAGAAGAAAAATGGATTTTTTATGTTGTTGGTATACCAAATTTGTAGCAAAAGAAAAAACACAGTTATTTTTATTGGGTAATGGTTTAGTGGGTGCGTGGAAAGTGGATTGGGAAGTGTTAAAATTTACCATGAAGGTGCATGCATTGTAGGAGAACATGATGATGATGATGATGATGCTGAAACAAGTGTGTGACAGAGAGAGAATTGCGGTTGGATTAGTGTGTGAAGTGAAACAAAGGGAGAGAGAAATGAAGAGAAAGAGAGAGTCTTGGGGGGAGGGAAAGGAAAGGAAGGATATTGAAGCTGTCCTGGTTTTTCTCTTCTCTCTCACTCTTCCTCTTCGCGCTCTCTGCTTGTGTGTAAGATAGTTCAGGAGAGAGAAGAAGGTGGTTCATCACAATCTTACAATCTATATAAATACACTATTTTTAATCATTATGTTATTAATATCTTCCTACTAAATGAGTTTCAACTTGGTAATTGAATAAGAGTAAATAAAACTATATTATTAATCTTGATTTTAATTTTAAGAGGAGAAAAATTCTTAGTATTTTATCATAAATTGCTTTCTTCGTTTATTTATTTTTTGGAAGAGTTTGATAGAAGAGAAAAAGTACTATCTGTAACATATGTAAGACCCACAGAAATGTTGGATGAACAACGGTGTTCTTTGAGATTTACATAAAATAGTCTTTTCTGCGGCATGAAGATGAAGAGATTCTGCAGTTGTTGTAAGTAAGAACAAAAAGTTGTCCTCAATTTAGGGATTGTCTTACGTCTGAACGTTGTCGTTTATCGTTGTTGTTGTATATAACAAGAGTACGTAGATTTAAAGTTCGGGCATTGGAGGAACTTCCAAGGACCATGGATTTGTATATTATTTGGTTATCAATGGATTCTAAGAACTGCAAAAGACTATTTTGATGATAGCTTTTGTATTTTTTTTAAATATTAAAAAATGTTCATACTTTTAATTTTCATATTACCAAATAAAGGATTTTACTCAAGAGTAGTTTGTTTGTAAAGTAGAAAGCTCTCCTAAAACACACAAAGTCAGTGATTGAGATTGACAAAACCTAAAGCTTTAAAAATGAAAACAAATATATCATAAAAAGTATTCAATCATGATGGGATTAATAACAAATTAATGAAATCTGCATCCCTTTTGCCTAACAACTGAAATAAAATCATAAAGTTTGAAGGAAAACAATCATTTTATTGACATGAACAAAAGTAAGAACATGCGTTGAAAATAATTCTTGATGCAGACTGCACAGATATGGGGAACAAGAGCTGCGAAAGCGACCACTACTGCTGTATTTAGCCAAATAAAAGTTAGGTCCTTTCCTATTTGGTTTTCCATTACTACTTTATGCTTGGATTTGACACCATTTATCTTTCATCTTGTCCTCAACCTCACAAAATTTAGACGTGATCAGTCCATAAACATACCAAGCTACTAGTCAAGTATAATTTTCTGCATTACCAATTAGATTCTTTTAAAAAACTCAATTTTTATTGTACTTGATATTGTCCCTTCTTGTCCAATTGGATTTAACATCATTAACTTTATGATTTCCACAAAAAAACAAAAAATGTCTCTCACTAACTTTCGTTGTCCTTTCTTGAAGTTCAGATTTTGCAAGCAGTGAGCAAAATCAAAGCAGAGAAGACTGAAGCCAACTAGAACTTCAGCAACAGGCCAATCAAAGTTGGACTGCATACTGAAAATTGTGTTCTATAGTAAGGGCTAAGCACCATGTCTGGTACATTGACAGTATACTCCATATATTGTCAGATTGTTACTCCACTTTTTGTCTATGCTATTGGGAAAATCTAGCAATACCAAGAGCACCATTTGAATCCATGATGTATTAGAGCATTAGTTTGTGTCAATTACTTGGTAAAACTCGTTTTAAAATCAGAGAAAAGTTGCAATAGGCAAAGAAGAAAAGACTTTTCTTAACAGACACCTAATGCAAAAGAATAAGTTTTTATTTATTACAAATGATATTGTTGCAAGAATCGACCATAAGAAAAAGCTAACCTTTTTCTAGGTACCAAACCAAGCTAATAATAGCATGAATTATATGATTTACATTTACTGAACAACTATCTGCTAACAAAACTATCGCGGTCATCTATTAAGCTTATAGAATATGTTCCATAAATATTGAGCATGGACTCCAGCCTCAGTTATTTACATACAGAAGTCATTAGACCGTTACAACTTGCCATAGCATAACTTGCACTTCCAACACTGTAGCTCTTTTATCTTGATTGGAAGTTCAGTGTCTTGATGCAGAAGGAAAATACAAAGGCGAAGAAGACAGTGAAAGCTACCAAAACTGCAGCAACTGGACCCATGAAGTCGGGTTTAAACCCGTAGTGGTTTTCAATGTACCCTTTAACAGTGAAATTTATGGTACTCCCTGGCACAAAAATTGGGTCCTCTATATCTCTATATTGAGAGACAATTAATCCATACACTGTCCATGCCACTGGACAAATCCAGTAATACCAAACCCACCATTTAGGAATTTTCTGAAAAGCCAAAGTTGGTAGAAAAGTTAAGTTAGTAAAGATTATGTAAGATATGTTATAATACTTATGCGTTTACATATAATAATAAGCAAACTAGAAGGGAACTCACGGGTCTTGGGATAAAGAAACCAGAGAAGAGATTGAAGAGTCCATAGAATGCTGCTGCAAAGATTGATGCCACTTGGTGGTTTGGTGTGATGGAAACAGTCATCATTCCATAATATGTGAAGTACAAGAAAGAGAAGAAGCTGACAAAGAAGAACCAGAAGAACTTCTCCACTTTCCATTCAAAGTTCACCATGCCATAGATTAGGAGTGAGTAATACACAGCTTGGACAAATACATACGGTATTTCGGCAAAAACCTGCAATTGAAAATGCATTGGCATAAGGATAATGTTACTAGGTAATAACATGATTACAAGAAACAAATATTAGAAAATTTTGTTCTTTGAAGAAAATCAATCCACTAACCTGTGCGAGGGCATAAGGCAAAGGAGCATACATTCCAGCAGCTCTTTCTCGATAGAACACTGTTCTTTCAACTGCTACGATTGGTTGAACAGTTTGGCAGTTGTTAATGCCAACAAAAATAACAGCAGCATACATTGCTCCAATAATCATTGTAAGGTCGCTTGAATTGTCCCTAAACAGAAACAACCAGAGAAATTAGCTAAAAATTTAAAACTATTGGTTGAAGAGTAGAGAGATTTCACAGGAAGCAACTCTCACCTATTTCTGCCAATTCTCCAAAATATTGTCCCTATCATGAGGGCACTAGCCAAAGTGAAAAAGAATCTGACAAGATTGTAATCTGGACTCCTCCAGTATGTCAGCCACTGCTTCCAGAAACAGGATTTGAATTGCCCCAGTGTGGATTGAGAATATTTAGTGGGGAAATACAAATCAGTACTTCCAGGTGGGGGTGTGCTTAGCTCCTTTACAAGGGCTTTGTTTCGCCTGTTCAATTAGTAAATGTGTTAGCTCAAACTAGAGTATGTACGCCCATTTGACAATATAGGCAATCTAATTGTCAGTTGACTCACTGAAACAAAGATGAAGATTTGTAGTATTCAGCAAAGTCCATTCCAAGTCGAACTTCAGCTGCTACAGAACTCACTTCTAGCATCCATGTTGCTGGATTGTACATCTCTTTAATTTTTGGGACCCCTGGAATTGCCTGTGAACAATGACATGGGATGAAACTTGATGCTAAACCCTATGTTAAAGTACAGGATCAAATGAATACAATCACTTAGTTGTAATACCTCAAAGTATTCTATAATCTTGTGGGAATTTCGGCCTAATGGTCCTGAGTAGATCACTTGCCCTCCTCTTTTCATCAACAAAAGCTGGACAAAAAAAAAATACATCATTAAGGACCAAAGAGGTTATAGGCAATAAAAAGAAAAGAAACACACGATAAAATAGTCTGTCGGTTGGTTGGTACCTCATCGAAGGCTTCAAAGATATCAATGCTAGGCTGGTGAATTGTGCAAACAACTGTTCTTCCAGTGTCCACAGTGTTTCTCACAGTCCTCATAACAATAGCTGCTGCTCTTGCATCAAGTCCTGAAGTGGGTTCATCCATGAAAATGATTGAAGGATTAGCAACAAGCTCAACAGCGATGGTCAACCTCTTTCTTTGCTCGGTTGACAACCCTGTAACTCCTGGAAGCCCCACTATAGCATCCTTGAGATTATCCAGCTCTACCAAATCCATCACTTGGTCCACAAATTGCTGAAAAGATAAAAGAAGATTGAAATTTTTAGTTCACCCTTCTATGAACCCTTATTAAGAGAAGAATAAATTAGCTACACTAGTGTTTAGTACTTACTATTTTTTCCTCCTTACTAACTTCTTTTGGTAAACGGAGGAAGGCAGAGTAAATCAAAGATTCGCGAATAGTAACTTGGGGTGAATGAATATCAGTTTGTTCACAGTAACCAGCGACTCTAGCAAAGGTTTCTTGGTTCTTGGGGAACCCAGAGATTCTAATATCTCCTTCAATGTAGCCACCAGTCTTTCTTCCTGCTAAAACATCCATTAAAGTTGTCTTTCCCGCTCCACTAACTCCCATTAGTGCAGTTAGGACTCCAGGCCTAAAGGAACTGGTTACTCCCCTAAGAAGTTGCAGCCTATCTTCAGTCACTCCTTGTGCTTTCATTTCCTGTCATGTTATTAGAGTTAGAGCCATGGATTGTTAATGGTGCCTATTATGAAATTATACTAAAGAATTGATCGGATCCTTACTGCAGGCATGTCAACGTAGTAATTAACAGTGTCAAAGGACATTGCAAGTGGTTGAAAAGGTAGAATCATTCCTCTTTTGGGGGCAACTCCAGTAGCTGAATCATTTGCAGAGTCAACTTTTTTTAATCCACTGGTAGCTTGGCTGCCCATTCGCTGCATTGCCACTTCTCCTGAAATGATTCATATAACATAAACCATATATCAATAAGAAGGTACTTTTAGCCAAACCATCAAAGATTATTAACGTTGTATGATCTAATACTTACTTGCATTATTTCCATCAGCAGTAGATAATGATCGAAACATTGAATCTTTGTTTGACTGTGGGGGCCTTACAAGTCTAGGTTCTTCGTTGGTGTCTCCTCCAGCCTCCATTTCACTTGCTTCTTCCTCAGAAATAATTGCTTGTTTCTTTCCAAGAGCTATTGCACCAAACAAGAAAATATAAAAGCTTTAGTAAGATAGAAAGTGAAACGAGTAACTCGCTAGAAAGATTGACAAAAGTTTGAGCTCTTACGGTTAAGGTACATAAGCGCAAGGGTGAAGAGAACATTGTAGAAAATGGTATATCCAAGAAGAGCAGCGACTCCTATCCAGTACCATTCTTCTTTAGCAAAAACATCAAAGTTTCTAAGTACTGACAGACCCAATGTGGTAGTTTTATCCGAAGAAGTCTGCAGTCAAAGACATGTTCAAGTTAGAAACCAACGAGTTTCTTCTTAATGAATTATATTCAATTTCATTTTTCCAATTAAAATCTTCTGATATTTACCTGTGGATGCATCCACCTTGGAGCAAACATTTCATTAACAGCCAAGGAATTGAAGGCATATGTCAATGGTGACACCCAGTAAGCCCACACCCACCAATCAGGAATTTCACCTGTAACCATTGAGCACGTATGTGAGCACATTCTTTGAACAAATGTAAGTTTAGAGTCAGTTTCCAAATACTTTTGCTTAAAAAGTTTGGATTGTCACTCACGTTTGGGAAGGATGAAACCTCCAAGAAGAAAAACAAGAAGGAGCATGAGGGCTCCACCAGTGTTAGCTATAATCATTGTCCTGCACACTCCAGAAATGACCCTAAACATCCCAGCGGCCATTTGTTGGATAAGAAACACCACCAACAATTGCTTGAAGAACCTAAATATAGTATAGGCAAGAAAAGGAACAATTAGTAATTATAAATACATCTCATCATAAAACATGATATTGATCATTGCACGACATAATATTTTGTATCAACGATATTATATAATGAACTAAAGTTGTATCAAAAAAATTTTAGGTTGCTATGTAAATGAGTCCAAATGTACATGCAAATTATGTAAAAAAGAAAAGAAAAAGCATGAGTTTACCTGCTAGCTTCAGGAGCAAATCCTATGGTGTAATAGGTAATAATCACCCAAACAAGAGACTCAAACACAGAAATGGGAATACGCAACAAGAAATTGGGGAGGGTGTAAGTCCAAGCAGGGTGGAAAAGATGGTCTCTATGCTTGTAAAACACGGGAAGCCTTCCAATTGTGAGTGCTAGCTCAGCAAAACCATTAAACATGTTCATGATCATAGAGAACAAAATTGCACCAATGTAAAGTGAAGCTCCATCTTCATTATTTTGTTTCATTTCAGTCCTCAAGAACAATGTAGCAGATATGATGGCAATGATGATAATTTGGACTGTCTTGAATATGTAGACGAAGGAGTTCCTCTTGATCAGCAGCCACTCCTTGTCCCAACATGCTTTAAAAAGACCCATTGTGGGCACAGAGTTTTTACTGTATACAAGAGCTGCTTTATGTGCACTTGACTTATCAAATGGCACAGATAACTCACTCTCAAGCTTCATTCCAACATGGAACTGCTTGAACTTGTTTGCAAACTCTGTCACTGTAACATAACGGTATGGCATGTTTTTGTCTGCCCAGTATTGCTCCTGGTCCTTCCTTGAGGTAACCTGTTCAAAATTTCCAATTAACATTCTAATTATATTTCCCTCATTCTTCTTTCTTTTCAAATAAGACAAACTTCTACTCTATCATTCATGTCAATGTTTGATTGAATATACATGATAATCAAACTCTATAATATAACTTCCCTTAAATCAGATTTTGTTTTCAGTTAACACTTGCTACAAAAAAAAAAATGTTCCATGATTGGAATGTGACCTGAAGTTATGTGCACAAGTTATGTGAAGTTTCATAGGGTATGTGAAAGTGCAGAATTAATAAGGTGATGACTATGATGATCACACCTCTTGCAAGAAATCAGCGGTTCCCTTTCTTTCTGGACAGCGAAACCCACATGATTCAAAGAATTCCACGATGTGCTCACGTGGGCCTTGGTATACAATCTGACCCTCAGATATGAGGATGATGTCATCAAAGAGATCAAAAGTCTCAGGAGCAGGTTGGAGTAGGGACATTAAGATAGTTGCTTCAGTAAGGTGCACAATCTGCTGCAAGCACTTCACAATCTGATACGTTGTTGAACTATCAAGACCCGTAGATATTTCATCCATGAATAATGTTTTTGTGGGCCCAACTATCATCTCTCCTGTATAATATAATCAAAGTCAAGAAATCATCATAATTTGAAGATAAGCATTAGATTTGATTTTTCTTTGTGTTGTCATAATCTATCTATCTAAATTAGGCACGTTCTATGTATATTTACAATGAGTTGTAATTAAAGAAGACTTGTTTCAAATATATTTTTAAAAATAACTATTAAACAAAAAAAAAAGGTAAACTCATTAAACAATTTTCTTGGACAAACAAACAAACAAGAGTTTGGTTGGCAAAAGTCCATGTGGCCACGTTCTCCTAATCTTAAAAAATTGTGTGGTTGAGTATCTCTATATACAACTTGTTGATCAAACAGTGTTGAACTTGAAAACTATGAGCAGATACAGACAGACTTAGATATTCTCAGTAACGGTTAGTTTTATTTTTTGGTCATGTTAGTCCTTCTAACCTGTGGTAACACGCTTCTTCTGGCCACCTGATACACCTCTGTGCATTTCATCACCCACTATGGTATCCTTGCAAATATCAAGTCCTAATATCTGTTTCACCCAGCAAGAAACAAGAATGATTAATTAGAACATTAAACAAGTAGTTAACCACAGTCACTACAGCTATAATGTTGATTATAAAAATATGTAAAGTATGAGGGTACTTAGGGTAATGCTCTGATAGGGACCTACTTTAGCCAAAATATATGTTGACACTAGTCAACATTGTGGGGTAGGTGAATTGAAATTTTTGACAAGGAAAACTATACTTAATATTTTGGTGGGGTAAATACGTGGAAAGCTTTTGAGGACATTTCTTACTAACTCTGCCTCTTTTTTTCTACCACAAATTGTTGAAAATTTTTCAACAATAAAAGAAAAATCACTTACTTTGAGTGTATAGTCGGTAATGAGACTGCTTTCTGTTCCTTCCATTGCTGTGGCCTACAATGAAAGAAACTAGTTAAACATTTCCATTGATAAACCAAAATTGAGATAATTGTTGACTTTTAGTATCACAAAATAGTAATAATTAATTGGGAAGTTGGTGAAAATACCTTCATGAAAAGGTCAACATCTGCCTCTGGAAATATACCAGCTTCCTTTTCCCTTCTAGCAAGCTCCGTTAATAGATCTAAAAACAAGTTGATTAAGACAAAAGAAAACTGTTAATAAATTATTTATAGGGTAAAAATGGGTTAAGGATAAAATGGTGAATCAATTACCATATCTAGTCCCTACTCCCAGGCATCTAGCTGAGAAATCCAGTGTTTCTTTTACAGTCATTTCTCCGACATGAACATCATTTTGGCTAATATATGCTGAAGTCTTTCTTGGTACAAACTCATCAAGTTTGTGTCCATTGTAAGTGATTTCTCCCTTCACCTGTTTCATCAAAACCAATAGTTTATAATTTATTCTTGTTTATCATTATTATTATTATTATTATTATTATTCATCATTTATCATTTATCATTATTCATCGTCATTATTATGTATCAAGAATAATTTTTTAAGTAAAAATGATTGGGTTGGAGTGTACCCTCAATTCAGGGTCCAATTTTCCGGCCAATGCCAACAGAAGGGTCGTTTTTCCTGAAGATGGGGGACCTAATAAAAGAGCCATTCTGCACAGAACCATAAACAAAAAACCATATAAGACCAACAAGTTAAAATTATTTTTGTTTTGATTTTGATATTATTTCAATCACACTATATACTAACTGGTTGTAGTACCTTGATGGTTTAACAATGCCAGAGGCATTCTTAAGAATAGTTAGCTTTGTCCTCTTAGCTGTACTAATGCCACAAATGCTAAAAAATGATTCAAGAATGTTCAATGCAGAGTTTGGCAGGGTTGGCAGAGCTCTGCTGCCGACATATGAATTTGCCTCAACAGTCAAATTTTGGAATCTCACTTCTACCGTTGGAAGTCTGATCCCGACCCTGAAATCAGAAAAACAAAAAAGAGATAAATACCAATTGATTAACAACTTGGACAAAAATGTTGTTCGATTTGTACAATACTCCAAAGTCCAAACAATTGAAACATGCAACAACATTAATTTGTGTAACCAATAGGTTAGTTCCAAAGATGATTTCACCTTCATCAGCAGCAATTTCAACCACTCAAGTATTAGGTTTGCAAGAGCAACAAGGTATTGACATTAAACAGTATTAGGTAGCTTTTAATTCTATGTCTAGTTTAGTTTGACAATGTCAAGTTTGGAATATGACACTTGATTTCGAAGGTTTAAGAAAATATAGCTTTGAAAAAAATCTTAATTAATAAAGTATTAAGTTTAAACTACGTCTGCAATGATATTCTTATGTAGATCCGGTTCCCCTCTACTGCATATCACTATCATGAAATGGTTCTTCAACTTTTCTAAATCTGAACAAAGACACATTCAACAACATGATAACATGGTTGGGATAAAACGAAAGAAGGTATAGAGTACAATCATAAGAGAAAGAAAGGTTTTCTAAATAGATGGGGTTCTTGATATAACTGATTGAGGCAATAGAAACCGATTTCATCTTTATTTAGTTAAGTCATCAAAAAAATTTCTAATCCTATTTGAACTTTGAAGCCTGAAATCTGATTTTTTTTTTTTTATTGTGTGGGGGGTAGATAAGCTGGAATTGGGAACAGCAAATGTTTAGCCAGATAATATTAACTTTCCTACTGATTAAGTTAGCTAAAAGCTGAGTTCATCCTCATCATCAGCAATTTGATTCACTCGAGTATTAGGTTTGCATGAACAGTATGTTATTGACAAAAAAAAAGCATTAAAAGTATGCTTTTAATTCGATGTCTACTTTGTTTTGACAATTTCAAGTTTGAAATATGACGCTTGATTTCAAAGGTTTTAAAAAATAGCTTTGATAGAAAGCTTAATTAATAAAGTATATAGGTTTAAACTACATCTGCAATAATATTCATATGTAGATCTGGTTCCCCTCAACTGCATAGCATCAACATGAAACTGTTCTTTAATTTGATTTTGTCATCAAATGAAAGAGACATATTCAACATGATAATATATGGTGGGATAAAAATGAAAGAATGCACAAAGTATAAATAATGATAAGAGAAAGTAAGGTTTTCTAAATAGGTGGGGGTTCCTTAATTCAACAGATTGATTTAGACCAAAAACATATTTAATCTTCTTTTTAATTAAGTCATGAAAGCGTTTTTTTTTTTTTTTTGTGCGTGTGGGGTAAGTGGGTGAGGAAGTGATAAGGAAGACTATCTAGACTCACTTGTCAATTCTGTTTCTGAACTTCTTGAGGAACTTTTCATTGTCTTCTTCAGCAACCTTGAAAATCTTGTCAATGATTTGCTGCCTATCATTCATGTCTAGTTTGCGAACATCAACTTCCTTGTGCAGAACTTGGTTTCCAGGTAGTTGATCACCGCCCTCGGCAAAGGTTTGGATGATGCTTGTCCTTAGCCTATCATAGGTGGGGAGTTTCTCTATGGCAGCCCATTTGAGAGCCTCCTCATCCTCATCAACTTGAGAAGTCCTGCGAGAATACCTTCCACTCGCAAACACTTCCTCCATTCTCCAACTTGATCTGCTTATGCTCCTGCTTATGCTTCTGCTGAAATTCCTATCCATTTTGCCTCCCCTTGTTCTGAAACACACTCAAAGTTAAACTCCACTTTAGAGCAAAACACGGTATTACTATTTTCTTCAAAGGGTACTTCACTAACTCAAATCAAAAGGAACCAAAGACCATTTTTTGAAGAGATTGACATAAACAAAACGAGCAAAACAAAACACCCTCTTTTTTCTTTTTCTTTTTTTTTTCTATTCCATATCTCTAACCAATCAAAGAGAGAAAACATGGAAGAGTTTACAAACTTACATTACACAACAAGGAGTAAAAGAATCCTCTACTCAACTCAAGAAGGTTGCACTCTTTTATCTGTATGTTTCTTTCTTCTCCCTCTTCGTTTGCCTTCTATTCTTACTTCATGAGAGTGATTCTGAGATACTGGCCAACTAACCTGAACTTTTCCTCAGTTCTGGCTTCTAGTTTCTAGATGAAAAACGAATGTATATAAGTTTAAGAATGTTACACCTATTATCTCAATATATATAATACGAGTTAGTGGGACAGGGTGGCTCTACAAGTTGTGGAGGAATTATCGTGACTGATAATGCCATAACTATCTATCTTCCTAAGAAAAATAATGAGTACCCTTTTGTTATATATTATATGTATATATACGTATAATAATCAAAAGCACGTTCCGTGTCTTGAATGTTACCATAGTAATAACAAAGTCCATTCAAACATGACCAGCGTTTCCTCTTTCGCACCAGCTTCCTACAAATGCATCGTTTTGAATTGTAAGCATATATTATAAACCCTTCTTTTTCTTAATGAAAAAATATAAGCTTTTTCCTCCACTCGTTTAATAAAAATCTTGCTTCAAGGTATCAAAGAACAATTGTGCCACGTGACTCCCCTGGGAATTCGGGAAACTCTTAGTTTCTTAGTTTGACTATGAAAATATGAAGATAGTTTTGCTGCAGATAAAAAATGTTGTAATCTCTAGAGTTTCTTATGAGAAAACAAAAAAGTCATAGTGGCAGGACATATAACATTTTCATCAACCTTGAAAATCAAATGGAATAACTATTTTTTCTGATTATTTCCACTGCAAATTAAATAACAAGACATGAATAAGAAACTGGTAAATGAATAAATTATGTTTGTGACATTCTTTTCTCCTCAGTTTTTTCTTTAAGGAAAATGTTTGGTGAGGATTTAGTAAAACATTTAGTGTGAACAGTATATGTCTAGAACACAACTGGAAAAGGTGAACTACTTGTAAACATGTTCAAGAGATAATAACGTGTCTTTCTCCTTCTTTTTTGAGGGATTTGACCAAGCTATGCTTGTCATAGTCTCTCTGCAATAATTGGTGAAAGAAAACAAAAAGTCTTCAATGGCTGCTGAAGTGTAAGGCAAGAGGCCCTAGTCTCTCTTCCACCAACCATTTACCCACTGCATGTATGTTTTCTTTCACAGAGTCTGATCCTCTGCATTTACAACTCAACTGCATCTCCAAAAGTTTTAATTTATTTTTCGTAATAAATTAAGATTAAATAATTGTTTTGTATTTAAACATGTGAATGGAAAAGAATTTAATTCTTGAAATAGTGAAAATTCTAACTTAGTTCATAAATATTTAAAAAAAAAAGTCAATGATTGTATCTTGTGATTGTGACTAGGTTTCATAGGAAAATTTATTATTAAAACGTAGTCATTTTTTTACGATTAATTTTACGTGAAAATATAAAGTTTAAAGGCCAATTTCGTATTAAATTATATTTTTCAAAGATTAATGGTCATTTAATACATTTCATAAGGTATTGAATCAATATTTAAATTTGTTTATTCTATTTTATGTAAATTATACAAACACTTTGTCTTTATAACACATTAATAATTTGTATAAGAATAGATATATAAAAAAATTTGAAATTAATTTTAGTGTCACTATAACAGATATTATATAGTCATTTATAGATTTAAATATGTTTTGCTTTAAAAATATCATCGATTAAATTTGAGTCCTTTAACTTTTTTTTATTATTGATTTGAGACCTTATAAATTTTATATTTTTTATATCAATACCTCATTTTTAAGCCTAAAAGAGAATTTTAATGCAAATTGGTATAAATAAATCATACAGAATAAAAATAAGGTTCATACCTAAGTTTATGCATCAACAAAAATAAGACATAATTATTGTGCTAAACAGAGTTGATTAATTTTAATGCAAATTGGTATAAGTAGCACACAGATTCTTAACACAAGGTTGTTATATTAACCAGCAACCCAACTATTTTGATTGTTAAAATTGAAAAAAAAATCTAAATAAGTTAATTTGTCTTTTTCTCTTTAATATTTATATAAAAAAATCTCTTAATATTTATTTTAAATAAAATAATATTTTTAATAAAAATTCTAATAATTTAAAAGCGAAGAGAAAAAAGACAATTCATAATCTTTTTTATAAAACTATCTTCACTTAATTAAAAAAATTTTAAAAAAATTAACAAGGAAAAATAAATAAGAAAAAATCATTAACATTATTCTTACCTAAAAGTAGAACAATGAAGAAGAAAGAGTACGAACAGGTTGATTTAGCTCTTAATAATGAAGAGAAAGAGATATAAAAAGAAAAGAATAATATGATAACAAAGAAATATATATAAAAAATATTTATAAAAAAAATACTAACATTTTTATTACGTCATTTTAAGTAATAAATAAATAATAGATTTTATGTGATATTAATAACGTAATAATTTAAGATTCTTTCATTTATAATTTAATAATTAATATACTAATTTATATATCATTACTAAATTAACATAAGATTTATATATAAAAAAAATCTTTTACTTTATATCTAGTATATAGTATCAAAATCCGAGTAAATAAAAATATTATAATTTGGTAAATATTATTATAAAAAAATGGTGTAATAAATAAGATATGGAAATAGTTATTTTATACTTATAAGAATGTGCAATAGTTTCGTAATACATCATCCATTAGTTAAAAAATGTAAGATGATAATAATATGAAGAGAAGCAGAATAATTGTTATAATTTTTGTGCAGTTATAATTGTTATAAGATGATAAAAATAAATAGAGAATCGAATTAGAATAAATAAATAAATAAATAAGCCATGAATTTTTCTGCAGTTTGTTGACTTCTTTTAGAAGTTGGACTCCAAGTTCAATGCCACGTTTGAGTTTTGACCAAGTTAATTAACTAAATATATTGATATAACAATTCTTTAGCATAAAATTTCAACTATCTTATATGTTAAGTGCGTTTAGAAGTAAGTTTTCAACTACTAAAATGTATGGAATTCATGCATGTACATATTTTTAAACGAGAACGAATTGATATTGTTGAAAATATAAAGATCAAATATAAATTTATAAAAATTATTTATTTCATTTTAAAAAATAAAGATCAAAAGATAAGATTATATATATATATATATATATATATATATATATATATATATTAAAAACATATTTTTTATTATAAGAGGGAAAATCTAGTATCTAAATTAATTAAAAGTTATAATCAATGATTTTAAGTATATAAGTAATAATTTATATTTACAATAAATAATTTAAATAGTAATGTGAGATTATTTTAATTATTCATATTTAAAATAAATATTAGAACTTAATTTAAAAATAAAAATGAAATGGATACCTCGAAAAGAATATACTTTTAATTAAAAAAATAAAAGAACAATAGTTTGAGACTTCTTTGAGTTGATTGGGAGAAATACCTTGACTAAATAAAATAGTATTTAATGAAATGATTTTATTTTCTTTCGCAAAAGGAAACGAAATAAATATATTAGATAAAATAATTTGGCAAGTGTAAATTCATACAAAAGAATGATAAAATGTGTATTATTACTAATATATACTTAACTCCCAGATGAGATGATTAGATGATGAAAGCGTTGGTTAATCTCAAAGAACTATCTTAATGTAATTAGAATAATGAAAACATTATTTTGATTAGACTTGTATTTGATTAATTCACTTTCACATATATATTTAGTTTTTTTATTTTATTTTTTCAGTGCTGTGAAATTGTTTAGCTTTTTCAATAATAACAATCAAATGATTCCGAATTTCTACCTTTCTTGATCTCCCAAATTTAATAAAATGTATTTACTTGAATGAAGAGGACGTACAAACTTGATTTACACTTATTTGTATATGAATGTACTGATTCAATGAAATGTGTAAAAATGGTGTGTTTGTACATGTTAATTTCGAATGATACGTGAAGAAATATTAATGAAACTCATGTACACGAAAATATCTCTTATATTGCGAAGAAAAGAGGAGGTAAAATAAGCACATTAATAGAGGGAATATTTATATTGCTCTCTTTTAACAGTTTTTTTTTTTTGTCTTACATGTAACTTTCAATATTGCATTTTAGATATTCCTTTTCACCATTGCACTTACATATCTCTTTAATTTTTCAGCTAACATTATGCAAGATATTAATAATCAGTAAATAAAGTTTGTTTTTCTCACTCTTTCTTGTCATATAGATTGAACGTTCTTATTAAATAAATAAAATTGAGTTGATTGAGAGTGAGGGTATGATCAAGTTTTGTTCGCTTTAAAAAGTCGGGATGAGAATGGGTAATAGAATACTCATCTCAACCTCGTCTCAATTTTTGTTCCGACTTTATATTTATATTTAAATATTAATATTTTAAAAATATTTCATTTACTTTCTCTCCTATATATAAGGTCATTTTTACTTTTCTTTTATTCTCTTTTTCATTCTTTTATCTTTTTTAATCTTTTATATCAATTAGTTCATTATATTATTTTCTTTCTCTTACCTTTCACTTACTCACATCTCCTTAATCTGTTCAATCAATTTAATTTTTTCAATCTTTTTAACCAATTTGATGAACACAAAGTTGATTTTTCTTCTTTTTTATCTTTTTTTAATATTCTACATCAATTCGAGTAGTAAATAATATTATTTTATTTCTAATTTATCTTTATTAAATTTTATTATATCATATATTT